GAACATTGGCTGCATTGGCCATGGGGCCCAAGTAAGGGATGCCTGGCTGTGACCAAGGATCTCCTGCCTGACCTGGGGACCTGTACAGTCCCCAAGGGACCTCAAGCCACTGGAAACTGGGGTGCAGGGCTACAGGGTCCAATTAGGCCTGACTCAACAAGTGACCCCAGCTGAGTCACTTCCCTTGGGCAGCCTGCCCACCTGTTTCTTCAGGGAGAGGGGATAGAGGAAACAGGGTCTGGCTGGGAGCGTGTGGCCACACAGCCCCACTGGACACTGAGGACCCTTCTGTCAGATGGATGCTGCTTCCTACCTGATCCAGCCAAAGATGTTCAACACTGGGAGAGGCCCTGGGGACCCTCTTCCCAGGAAGCCTGGCAATTAAATGCCCCCCCCCCCACATTATTAACAGCAGTAGCTTGCACTTATTGAGCACTGACTGCATGCAAAACAATTGTCAGATAGTCATTAGGACCCCATTTTACAGACAAGACCTGTAGCTTAAAGAGACTGACAACCCAGATCACACTGCCAGCGTAACTACAGCCAACACAGTTCCATGTCCATATTCCACGCCAGGCTTATACACTTCCCACAACCATCTGAGTGACCAAGACCCTCGGCCTCCACTGGGCAGATCCCAGCAGAAGTCAGATAATTCACCATGGCAAGTGAAGTTAGCAGAGACCACCTTGCTCCACAGCCCATCTGCTACAGGGAGAAGTGGGGGACGGAATGGAAAGGTCTTCATTTAATATTTACTGTTGGTCATCTAGTGCCAGGCCCAGAACTGAGCACTTTATATGCCTCCTCTCATCAAGCTCCATAGCTATTAAAAATCTTTCACAGAAACTGACTTAATTGCCTCAGAAAGATGAAGTGACCCACACAAGGATTCCCAGCAATGGGAGAGCCTCAGGAAAACCCCATAAGGGTGTGGGGGATATATAAACTGGTCCCTAAAGACCTGTTCGGCAAAGGGAATAGTCTTGGCCCAGATTAGGGGTAGTTCTCTGCCAGGTTCCCAGGATCCCCTTCACTGAGCCCTTCATGGCTGGATAGGACACCTTATCTTCCCTCACCAGGGGTAGGTTGCCCTGAGCTTGAGAGCTAAGAGGTCCCTCCAAGTGTCTGCGACTCTGCCCCCAATGATGCTCCACCCTGGAGATGGAGAAACTCTGGGATGGCACAGCTGGACCTAGGCACCTGAAGGCCACCACAGACTGAGGGCTGCTGGAATAGCTCTACAGGATCTGATTAGAAAGGTCTGTTTCTCATAGAAGGAGGTTCGAGCCCAGGGTTGAGAGGCTTGGGGGCAGGGGGATAAGGAAGAAAATCAAGCAGAGCTAACCTCCCCAACAAAGAACAAACCGTCCTTAGTCTGCTCCTGATGATGCCACGCTAAACTCTCTATGAAGTTACTCATTTATGCTTCCGGTGACCCTAAGGAGTAGGTTCTCTTACCACACCCATTTGGCAGATGAGAAAACTGAGGCCATAGACGGTAAGCAAGACCTCTTAGCCAGGAAGTGCTATCATCTCATCTTGCCCAAGTCTTCAAAATTCTTCTCCCAAGACTGGAGGAACTCCAGGGCAGTGCAGGAGATGCAGCTGACAGGGAACGTTTCACACCAGTAACAATAACACTGCTGATGGTAATGACAAAATCAACAACCCCCTGCATGTAATTGAACCCTTCTCTGTGCCAGGCAGCAGGTGCCTTTCACACACTGGTTCATTAAAACTTTTCTGCAAACCTGTTATTACCCCATTTTATACAAGAAGAAACTGAGGTGGACAGGGTTACTTGCCCACACCTCAGCTTGGAAAGAGGCAGAGGGGGAATGAAAGTTCAGCCTCCGGACCTTCCTCTGCCACCACTGAGCCCTGAAGGTCCTCAGAACCGAGTTGCTGATACTTCAGGCCGGCCCCTTCCCAGCTGGCTGCTTGTGTGCCCCACAGGGACTCACACAAGTTGTAGGAATGTTCATCCTTTGGCTCAGAAGAATTTTCCCTCCCAGAGGGGGGCTGTGGGAAAAGGCTCAGAAAAAGTGCAGTAAAAACTCTTCCAACTTCCCTGATGGGCCTCAGTTGGTCTTTCATCCCCGGAGTCCAGTCTGCCCAGGTGGCCTCTGTCTGCTCTTTCCCCATTATGTCCACAGGCCCTGCAGGTTCCCAGGAAACTGTGAAGCTGTTTCTATTCTGGCCACCAGGTCAGTGATGGGAAATCCAAACACAACTTGCACCCACATCCCCAGAGACACACATGCCCACTTCCCTGGCAAGGGCCCCAAGGCCAACTGTAAATGAAAGGCTGGTTGGCCCAGTTGCCCCAGCAAAGCCTGGCAGCTGCCAGGTATCTGAGGATACGTTTCTCGGGCAAGGGTCTGTGGTTCAGATCTCAGTCCTCCTGTCATCAAACCTGGACTTTGGCCCTGCAGATGTTGCCGTGTCAGGCCCTCTGCTCCAAAGCCCCCGCCTGCCCCCCCCCCAGCCACCCAAGATTTCACTTCCTCCCATCAGCCCAGCCTAGCCATGCCCCTCCCTGGAGTCCCCCAGCTGCAAGCAATGACCTCCTCACCTACATCATTGTGGCCCGGGAATGGGGAAGAGAAACAGGAGAATGAGGAAATTAGGAAGGAAAAAAAAAAGAAGTGGGACAGGCAGGCAGACCCCCCTCCCCAGTTCCTTAAATGCAGTCCCCCTCCAAGAAAAAGCTTTCTGGCCAGGGGAAAGGAAGGAGGGGTTTTCTGCACCAGGGACTTTCAAAGTCCCCTGAAATACCCTCGGGCAACGCTGACCTATAAGCCCAACATCCTCTCAGTTTTGGTGGGGGGATTCCCAGTTTAGAGAATCCCATGCTCTGGGATCCCCAAACCCACTGAACCCTTAGTTTAGTGGTGCGTGGGCGCCTGGCCAAACCCACCTGGGCAGTGCTAGGAGTGACAGGGGGTCTCCTGAACTGGACTGCTGCCTTCTTAGTGCATGGCCTGAGGTCAAAATGGGGAGGGGCTGGCCCATCCTCACAGCCTCGTTGGACCACTTTCACTTCACAATTGGCGCGGCGACCGCGCAGCCCTCTCCTGAGGCACCAGCTGGGGCCGATCCCCCGACCGGCTTTGGGAAGGCCGGAGGCGTCGGCTGCGCGCTCTCGGCGCCCTCAGCGCCCAGCTGCCGCTCCGTGCCCAGCACGTGTGTGGGTGGGGGTGTCGGCCGGGGCGCGTCGCCGGGGCCGGGAACGCGCCCTCCGACTCCTCCGTCAAGTTAGCGGCAGGACTGTCTGTGGGGCCGCCGCGGGCGTGCGCAGAACCCGGGCAGCCCTGGGCGCGGGCCTCCTGATCCCCGCCGAGCCCTGCCGGCCTCGGGGAGCGCACGGCGCGCTTACCTGAGAGAGACGGGTTTCGGGCCCGGCCTGCCCATGGCGTCGCGCGCCCCCGGCCCCCCGAAGTCCCGAGGGGGTGGGCGGGCCCCCGCCCCGGGCGCGTCCGCTCCCGCGCGCCGGCTCCGCGCTCGCGGCTCTCAGGAGCGGGGCTCAGGCAGGAAACCCGGGCTCGGAAAATGGCCAGCGCCTCATCATTTCCGCCGCCAGCGCTTGACGGTTGCGGGAGGATGCGCCCCCGGACCGCCACCGGGGAAACTTTGCTGCCGCCGCCGTGGCCTCCGCGGGCCGCGACAGTCCAGGCGGGCGGCCGGGCGGAGGCGGTGGACCGAGCCCATGCCGCCCCGCGCCGTTATGTAAAAAGGAACCCGCTGCTAGCGCCGAGCCCGCGGGGGAGGGCGGCCTCGGGGCGGGGCCACGGGAAGCCACGCCCCTGTCCTCCGCGAGCGGCCGTGGGGCTCGGCAGGGGGCGGGGCCTGGCCTGGCCCCACCCACCGATTCCGCTCCTCGGTGGCCCGCCGGGTCCAGGGGTCTCCAGACGCGGCCCGGGCAGAGGCGCGGCCTCCTCGAGCCACGCCCACACCCGGGCCACCGGATTATTGTCGCGCAACCTAAAGAAAAGACTGCCAGAGGGGCGGCCCCACCCACCTGACGCCTGTTAGATACCGACTGCCTAAGCGTGGCGGGGGCGGGGCCAGGTGGGACGGGGGCGGGGCGGAGCCGCCCGGCCTGGGGGGGACGCGCCCCTAGTGACTCCCTCCCTCTGGGCCTTATCGGCGTCCGCCGGCCCGACAGTGCAATAGCGATCGCAGCTTTCATCATCACCCGGGGAGGGGGCCCAGCCCTGCTCGGCCCCGACTATCCGCGACTCTGCCGAGCCCGCCCGCCAACCTTCCCTATTCGGGTTCTGTCCCCATTCTCAGCTCTGCTTTCGCCGTGGCCCGAGCCCGAGCCCGTGCTGACCAGCCTCTACCCGGCCACCTGTTCCCCTCTCCAGAAGGGGTGTATCTTTCTCCAAGAAGCCCTCCCGGACTGCTGGCGTCGCTGCGCTCTGAGCCTTCAGCTCTGCACGCCACCGGGCCACTTACCTTTTTTCTATGGCTTCATGGGGTTGTAATGGACAGTGGGGTGTCCCTTGCTGTGTTATGGAGCATACTCAGCCAGCCTTTTCCCCCGGACACGTGGGAGGGAGGGCAGAGAGGAATGTCTGCTCTTCTCCCCCTCCCCCAACAGGAAACAAACCGCCCACGCCCCCAGCTCCGAGGGGCCACTTCAACCCTTCCCAGAAAGCAGGCTCCTCCCGGGCTATTGCCTCCCCCTTACTGCAAATGACTTGACTTCTCCATTCCTTAATTTCCTCATCTGAATGAAGTGGAAATAGTAAGTGTCCCCAGCCCACTGGGTTGTTGGGAGAATTAAATGAGTGAATGCATTAAAGCAGTTAGCTCAGGGCTTGGCTCATGCTAATTAAGGAGGTGCTCCTTAAGTCCTCCCCTTGCAGCTGCAGGAAGGGGTTCCCCAGAAAATGGGGATTTCCAGACTCAACAGATGGGCTGAATGGAGCTGGTCTGCGGAAGGATTCCTAGAGTCCACTGCCCTTGAAGAAAAAACAAAAACGTACTTTCCACAAATAGGTATTGAATACCTGCTATATGCCAAGCATGGTGTCTAGGGACACAGCAGAGAAGAAACAAATGTCCCTTCCCTCATGGAACTCGCATTCTGGTGAGGGTACGCATTAAAAGGGTAACTTATGAAGAAGGCAATAACAGTTACAGGATGGAGGGGGTGGAGACTGTCTTTGGGAGCTTGGGAAGGACTTCTCTTGAGAAGCTAATGTTTTACCAACAAGAAGGATCCAGACAAGATAAAGTGGAGGGAAGGGTATTCCCGATAAAGGAACAGCAGGTACAAAGGTCCTGAGGTGGGAATATGTTTAGTGAGTTGGAGGAAATTAAAAAGGCAATAGAGAGATCTGCCCTTCCCTATGGTTAGAATGGAGAGGAAGGCCCTTTACAAGGTGTCTTCAAGGGCTTGGCGGGGAGTCTGGCAATTATTTCGAGGGCAGGGGGAGCCAAGAAAGGTTTTAAGCAGAAGAACCTGTTGTTGAATTTTGGATTCAAGTTGCCAAGTGTGGAGCTGACACCCCCATTAAGAAGTGTCCTTGTGACATTCCCACATCTGACATTGTGCGACAAGGGGGGAAGGTATCAAGAAAGTCTAAACTGGCACCCCGTTATTAACTCTCCATTACTCTTGGGGAGACCGAGGCCGAGGGCAGCACCCCAGGCCAGGTGGCACAGATGCAGCAGCCAGGTACTCAGCTTCTGCCAACTGGCTGCGAAACCTGCCAGCCACAAGCACTTTCCCTCTCGCTGCCCAGACAGCAGCTCTGCTGACTTAAATGGGGACTTGCGGTTCTTCCCCTTTTTAATCACAGTTCAAGCCTCCCTGCCTGCCAGATTTCTCTGAGGCCCGACCCGGCTTCCTTCCTCGCTTCTCGCTCAGCGGCCCCACGAGAGCCCAGGCTCTTCTTCGGTGTTCTCCTTGGTCCCAAGACTTCTCACTTTGGGTTTTTCCTTAGAAAGGCAAAAGGGCTTCCAGCGCAGGTCGTGGCCGGCGGGTCCCTCGGTTCCCACGACGCCCCGGAGGCTCCGGAAACCAGCGGGTCCGAACGCCCTTCCTTCCTACCGTGCAGAGCCTGGAGGGCGGGCACCGCACCGACGCCTGCCGAGCTCAGCCCGGCTCCGGATCAACCCAGCCACCAGAGCCACGTCGTTCACAAGGACAGCCACGGCTGACATCAACAAAGGTCAACAGGCTGCGGATCAATAAGAAGTGAGCTAATGAACAATCAATATAACAATGGTCAGCCGGTCTAACTAATAGCAATAGTTACTGTGAGTTATTAGGGGATTAAGAGTGAAGATAAATAAAAATCAGATATTTGTAATAATCAAATCATGATCAACAGGTCTAGGATTATAAACATTAACAACACAAGGGTCGGGACCCAGCTCAATGGTGGAGCACTTTCTTAGCATGCCCCAGGCTCTGGGTTTGATCCCCAGCACTGCAAAATTTAATAATAATAATATTAATCCATTAATGTTTAACAGCAATGAATATAATTTTGTATTTAATAAAATGATAGGATAATAATATAGCATAGAAGTTTCCTAATAGTGATGGCAATACATGTAGTATAATTGAGCTCTCAAAGTGTAGCCAGAGTCACTGAAGCACCGAACTTGTAACTTTAATGCTAATGAATTAAAATGTAAACGGTCACCTGTAGCTAGGGCTAGTATACTGGGCAGCTGTGGACAGTTTAGAAATGTTAACTCAATCTTCTCAACAGCCTGGGGTAGGAGTGTTACTGTTGTTGTTAATGTTATTATGGCCCCATGTCATGATGAGAAACCAGAGTACTGAAAGGTTAAGTCACTCAGGAGCAGAGCCTCTCTGCACCTCAGGGACAGCACACCCTGGCGTGAGGGGGCCCATAATTAAGAATGAAGGCTCTGGGCTGGGGCTGGGGCTGGGGCTGGGGCTGAGCAGTAAAGCGCTCGCCTGGCACGTTCGAGGCCCTGGGTTTGAGCCTCAGCACCACATAAATAAATAAAATAAAGATATTGTGGGGCTGGGGATGTGGCTCAAACGGTGGCGCGCTCGCCTGGCATGCGTGCGGCCCGGGTTCGATCCTCAGCACCACATACAAAGATGTTGTGTCCGCCAAAAACTAAAAAATAAATATTAAAATTCTCTATCTCTCTCCCTCTCTCTTTATTAAAAAAAAAAAGATATTGTGTTCAACTACAACTAAAAAATAAATATTTTTTAAAAAAAGCATGAAGGCTCTGGGGTCATGCAGACAGGTTTAGAAGTCTCTTTTCTGCATCTTGCTACCTGTGTGGTCACTTAGACTCTTCAGGCCCTAGTTTCCTCATTTGTAAAATGGGGACAGTCACAGGGCTGACCCCACTGGGTGTGGGGGAGAATCTAATGAGAAAGTGTATATTAATCCCAGACACAACGGTGCAGCCTGTAAGCCCAGCAACTGGGGGAGGCAGGCGCCTGAGGCGATAGGAACCCTTCAGCAACTCAGTGAGGCCCTGACTCAAAATAAAAAATAAAAGGACTAGGGGTGTAGCCCAGTGGTGGAGCACCCCTGGGTTCAATTCCTATTACCAGAAAAAAAGAAAGTACATCAAGAGCTTGGGAAGAGGGAGGAGAATTTGCACACAGCATGTGATCAATAAAGAAAGTTGATTTCAATCTATAATTGGGGGACTGGGGTTGTGGCTCAGTGGTAGAGCACTCACCTCACATATGTGAGGCACTGGGTTCAAGTCCCAGCACCACATATAAAAAAATAAAAATAAAAATGCATCAACAACTAAAAAAATTAAAAATAAATAAATCTCCAATTGAGTGTGAAGTGTGCGAGGGTCATGTATCCTCAAGGGCAGCCACAGAGACCAGGCCTGTGGGCAACAGATCCTCACCCCTGCTTTACAAATGAAGGTCAAGAATGTCACCCAAGGTCACCCAGTGAGTGGAGGCCTGGCCCACATCTGTCCCAGTGCCTCTCCAGGTCTGGACTGCAGGTTGGTGGTGTGTGGGGGGGGGGGGGGGGGGGCGGGGGGGGGGGGGGGCGGTGCTGGACTGCCCTGGAGCCAGGCAGAGGAAGTGCTTACTTTTTTCCATGCCTGGGATTCTGTCCTGGCTCTGCCACTTGACCTCCAGCAAGACTCCTGCCCTCTGGGCCTCACTGTTCTGTAAAATAATAGTAAGCAGGAGAGGAGAAAAGGCACTGTGTTGGACTTCTGTCCTCAGCAGGTGTTCAGTGACTGCAGTGCTGACTGTCATCAGGGGACAACTTGGCACACTGGGCTCTCACTGTTCTCCAAACTCACCTTTGTGATCCCACTTCAAGGCCTGGCATTGGCTGTCCCCTCTGCCCAGAATGCTGTTCCACCTGATGCTCCCAGCTCTCACTTCATTTACTCCCAGAGGTCCACTGCTGCTCATCTGTCCTCTGACCTTTCCTCTTCCTTCTTCGCCCCTGCTGTGTCCCTGACTTGCCACTGTAATTGCTCACTTAATTTGTTTACTGAATTTCTCTTTCCCCCTCCCCAAGAGGAGGTCAGTTTTGCAAGGCCTGGGATTCTTGCCTGTGTCACTCACTTGTATTCCCAACACCGAGCACAGTTCTTGCCACACAGTAGGTACACATTATAGTTAAACATATGTCCCCCTCATGCTGGGCATGGAGGCTGAGGCAGGAGGACTGCAAGTTTGAGGCCAGCCTGGGCAACTTAGTGAGACCCTGTCTCAAATAAAAAAATAAAAAAGGCTGGTGGGCCGGCACGGTGGTGCCTGCCTGTAATCCCAGCAGCTGGGGAGGCTGAGGCAGGAGGATTGCAAGCTCAAAGCCAGCCTCAGCACAAGCAAGATGCTAAGCAACTCAGTGAGACCCAGTCTCTAAATAAAATATAAAATAGGGCTGGGGATGTGGCTCAGTGGTTGATTGCCCCAGTACTAAAAAAAAAAAAGAAGGCTGGGGACAAATTAAAAAACTCAGTGGTAAAGTGCTCCTGACACCAATCCTGAAGAAGAATCTGGTCTAGATTGCAGGTCTGATTGTCAAGACACAGCTCTCAATCAGCTACTCTGCCCCAGCCACAATAACGAAGACCCTCCCCCCCCAAAAAAGGTGGAGCCCAAGTCCCCACACTGGAGTGTGGGCAGCACTTAATGACTTGCTGCTGTCCCAGCAGTGGGATGAGTGACTTCTGAGACTAGGTCATCAGAGGCCCCACAGCTGCTCCTGGTTCTCTTTTGAACCATCCACTCTGGGAGAAGTCAGCTAATCCTGTCGTGTGGACACTCCATCAGCTAGGACAGATCTTCACGCAAAGAAACTGAGGCTAATGAGGGGCCATCTTGAAAGTGGGTCATCTAGGCCCAGCCAAGCTCCATTCAGATAAGGGCAATACCAAGTCCTTCCCCATTTTTCCTGCAGTGCTGGGAATTTTTTTTTCTTTTTTCTTTTGTACCAGGGATTAAATTCAGGGGCACTCGACCACTGAGCCACATCCCCAGCCCTATTTTGCATTTTATTTAGAGACAGGATCTCACTGAGTTGCTTAGCACCTCATTTTTGCTGAGGCTGGCTTTGAACTCGTGATCCTCCTGTCTCAGCCTCCCCACCAAACCCTGCAGTGCTGGGGACTTATTCCAGGGTCTTACACATACAAGACAGGTGCCCTACCATTGAGCTACACCCCCAGCCCTTTTTTATTTTTTGTTTTGAGACAGGCGTCTTGCTAAATTGCTCAGACTGGCCTGGAAATTGTGATTCTCCTGCCTTAGTCTCCCAAGTAGCGGAGATTACAGGCATGCACTATTGCACCCAGATAGTCCCAGCATCCCCCCCAACACTTTTTAGACCACAACTTCATAAAAGACCCTAAGCCATGACCTGAATCGTACTGCACCCAAATTCCTAAAACCATCCAAGGTAATAAAGTTTTGCTTGTTTTAAGCCACTGAGTTTGGGAGGCATTTGTTATGCAGCAATTGATAACAGAGCTCAAGCTGACTCTGGAGTGTTCGCCACCCATCAGGGTTCAAGGGATTTGGGAGGGTTCAGGAAAGAGTACCTCTGGCCTTGGCTAACACAGGTCTGCTATGGGCTAGAAGAGAATTATGTAACTAGGTCCTTCCTCTTTCTGCCAGTGCTGTCAGAACTCCCAAGCCAGATTCCTGGGCGCAGGGCCTAATCTGCTGAGCTCAGGTGCCTGACATCTACTCCCTCTACTTCCTTCCCGGTGGCTTGGGTTCCCTTTTCTGTCCTCCCAGTGCCTTAGACTCTAAAAATGCCACAAGCTGTTGCCCAAGACAAGGACGAATGACCGTCTTTACCACGTGGATTCTGCCATGTGAGCAGGCACCGAGCTGGGACCATCACAGGTATTCTCTCCTTTCACCCCAAAAGAAGGGTTTGTCATTAATCTCCCCATTTTTCGGATGAGGAAACCGAGGCACAGAGCAGCCACATGGCTGGTGAATACCCAAGAACCTGGCCTAGAGTGCAGGTCTGTCCAATTGCCAAGACACAGCTCTCAAGCAGCTCCTCTGCCCCGGCGAGGGTAACGAAGACAGGAAGAAGGGAATTAATATTTCCTGGGGCCTATGCTCCAGCCATTGCTTTGATGGCTCTTTATGGGTTAACCACTTATTTCGCCCAACACCCTATACAAGGAGAGAATGTTGCTTCCCTCCCTTTGGCAGAGGAGGAAACTGAGGCACAGAGAGGTGAAGCGACTTGCCCAAGGCACACAGCTGGCCACCGGCCCGGCAGAGATTTACCCCCAGGCTCCCAGTTCCGACCCTGACCGAAGCCAGCGGGGCTGCTCCCGGCCCCGCCGCCCGCCCCGGCCCGGTCTGGGAAGCTGCGAGCCGCCCCCTCTTCCGCCAGCCCCGGGAATCTGGTTTCTGGGGGAAGTGACTCAGGGGCCTGAGGCCCAGCAGATAATTATTCACTTCCAATCCCGGTAATTAAAGGCCCTAATAGCTCCGCCAAGGACGCACAACCCAGTGACTCGGGCCGACCCCACCCTGCCGGGGACCAAGGCCGGGCGCACGAGCTTCCTGGGCGGCTGCTGGGCCGCAACCCAGGACCCGACGCGCGGCGCGCACGGCTGGCGCGGGGCTCTGGCGCCCCCTGGCGGCGGCGTGGCGTTGGGCTCAGGCGGCCTCTGGGCACCCCAAGGCCCCGCAGGCGCTGCACTGGAAGGAGCCTCCGCTCCCACCCCAACTCCCCCACGTTCTCGGAGGCTTCCCAGACTCCAGCTGGGGGCCTCCAATCCGCGGGGGATGGGCATCGAGGCGGAGAACACGGGCTGCGGGCGTGGACTCATGCCTCACTTCTCTCTTCAGTGTAGGGTCACCTTGGGCAAAGGGCAGGGACTCTCTGAGCTTCAGTCTCTTCATCTGTAAAATGGGGATTTTCACTGATTTTTACAGTCATAGGATGGTAGTGAAAATTAAGTAAAGTGACTCACGTAGAAGTCCCTATTACAGGGTCCTTGCTTCCAAGACGACAAAATATAAAAATAAAGTAGGCGGGCGTGGTGGCACACGCCTGTAATCCCAGCAATTGAGGAGGTTGAAGCAGGAGGATTTCAACTCAGAGACCAGCCTCAGCGACTTAGCAAAATGCCGTCTCAAAATAAGAAATAAGAAATAAAAAGGACTGAGGATATAGCTCATGAGCCCTGGGTTTAATCCCCAATGCCATAAATACATAATTAATTAATATTGATTTTTTTTGTGTGTGGTACTGGGGATTGAACCCAGGGCTTGTGCATGCGAAGCAAACACTCTACCAACTGAGCTATATCCCCAGCCCCAATTAATATCGATTTTAAAAATAAAATAAAAAATTCAAAAATAAAAGAAACAAAAAATGTTCATCATCGCTAGCAATTAGAGAAATGCAAATCAAAACGATTCAAAGATTTCATCTCACTCCATTCAGAATGGCAATTATCAAGAATACAAGTAATAATAAATGTTGGCAAGGATGTGGGGAAAAGGCACATTCATACATTGCTGGTGGGACTGCACAATCAATGCAACCAATCTGGAAAGCAGTATGGAGATTCCTCAGAAAACTTGGAATGGAACCACCATCTGACCCAGCTACCCCACTCCTTGTTCCATACCCAAAGGACTTAAAATCAGCATGCTACAGGAACACAGCCTCATCAATGTTTACGGCAGCTAAATTCACAATAGCCAAACTGTGGAACCAACCTAGATGCCCTTCAATAGATGAATGGATAAAGAAATTGTGGTACATATATACAATGCAATATTACTCAACCTTAAAGAAAATGAAATTATGGCATTTGCAGGTAAATGAATGGAACTAGAGAATATCACGCTAAGTGAAATAAGCCAATCCCCAAAACCAAAGGCTGAAAGTTTTCTCTGATAAGTGGATGCTGATCTATAGTGGGGGTGGGGAGGAATGAAAGAACTTTGGCTCATGCAGAGGGGAGTCGGGGGGAGGGGCGGTGGGGATGGGAAGGACATTATCACCCTATATACAAGCGTGACTGCACTACCCCAGTGTGATTCGGCACCATGTGCAGCCAAAGGAATGAGCAGTTGTGCTCCATTTGGGCACAGTGTGTCACAATGCATCCTACTGTCCTGCAGAACTAATTAGAACAACAACAACAACAAAGAATAAAGTTAACCTCAACCATGGAAGAAAAAGAAAAAGAAACAATGGCATTTCCAAAAAGGGCCCTGGTACAGGAAGTCTGTTTGCTGCCCAAACTGTGCTCAGTGTACACCCAAGAACAAGGCCATTAAGAAGTCCTCTGACCCTTCAGAGTGCCTGCCGCCATCAGGGCCATTTCTGAAGTGCCTGTCTCCAAGGCTCAGGTGCCTCCCGTGCTCTGAGCTCTGAGTGCAGCGTCCTGCTCCGCCAGGGGCTCGGGATCCATCTGAGAAGGTTAAGGACCCAACACTCCACCAGGCGTAGACCTTCCAGTGCTCCCCAGCACCTCCATCAAAGCCCAAGGAAGGAGTTGGGTTTCTGGAGGACTCGGGAGGCTGAGGCAGGAGGATCCCAAGTTCAAAGCCAGCCTCAGCAACTTAGTGAGACTTTGTCTCAAAATAAAAATGAAAAAGGGCTGGGGATGTGGCTCAATGGTAAAGCACCCTTGGGTTTGTTTTGATTGCCAGTACCAAAAAAAAAGCTAATGTATAGATGAAAAAGAACTGGAAATGGGCAGTCAAACAGACACTTCTACATTGAAGTTCACAGCCAGTATTCACAATAAGCAGATGGTACTCAAATGTCGCTCAATGATGTCACTCAAATGAATGAAGAAGTACAAAGTAGCACATGGTCCAATGGAATATTATTCAGCTGTGAAAGGGAATGGAGCACAGACAGGCTGCAACATGCATGGACCCTGACAATACGCTAAGTGATGCCGATGGACACAAGGACCACGTGTTATGTACAGAAGAGGTAAATTCCTGCTTCTACCTTCCAAGCACTTGGGATGGCAAGTGAGCACCTCTGGAAGCCCCCACCCGCCCGCCGGCGCGCCCCAACCTGTAAGAGCCTGGCATGGTCCACTCCCGTCTGCAGGTCACCCAAGGTGGCTCCACGGGCCTCCATCACCACGTCTGAGGCCGGCTGAGCCCTGCATCTTGATGCCTGGAACACAAACGGGGTGAACACGGGAGACTTCGACGGGGCCTGGGCTGTAGAAAGGAGCGGAGCGGCCGGCAGGAAAGGCCCACCACGCTCAGAGACAGCAGCAGGCAAGCAGGGCCTCGGGGGAGTGCAGCCTGCAGACATCCCGGAAGGGTGACAGGGTGACAGGGTGACAGGGCAGGAGCAATCTCGAGGGCAAAAGCTGCTGGTGAAGGAGGCTGCGGTGTCCTCTGTGAGGCTTTGGGGAGCACTGATCTCCCGGATGGAAAAGGATTATCTTTAGCCTCAGGCCCCTGAGTCACTTCCCTTCAGAAATCTAGTCCAGCTCCCCTAAGCTAGGCTGGGGGGGGGGGCACGAGCAGAGGCCATTGGCTCAGTCCTGCACCAGCAACAAGGCCCTCGGAGAGCCTCTGAGCTCTGCCACGAACCTGGCTGTGTGACCTCGGGCAAGTCACTTCACCTCTCTGAGGCAGCAGGGTCCATAGGGCCAAAAGGGAAGTACTTAGCAACACTGCTTTGTTGAACACCTACTGCATGCTGGGCCCAGCTCTGGGATACAGTGGTGAACATGAAAGATATACTGGGAGACACCATGATAGTTGAATCCTAAAACAGAGTGACCGGTTAAGAAGGGCGGCCACAAAGCTCACTGAATCTTTCCAACACTCCTTACCATCTCTGTTTCCCAGATGCAGAAACTGAGGCTCAGAGAGGTCAAGTTGCCTCCCCACATCACACAGCAACTCAGACGCGGAGCCAGAATTGAAACCCAGGCCCAGCTTACCAAAGCCTTTAGTAAATTTTAAAATTAAAACAATTTTTAAATTAAAAAACCTGGAGCTAGGCATGGTGATGCATGTCTGTAATCCCAGATGCTTAGAAGACTGAGACAGGAGGATTGCAAGTTCAAGGCCAGCCTTGGCAACTTAGCAAGACCCTATTTTAAAATAAAAATTAAAAAGTGCTAGGGATGTAGCTCGATGGTGGAGCCCTTGCCTTGCATGCTCAAGGCCCTGCGTCCCTTCCCCAGCATTAAAAAAGAATCTCCCCAAGGTGCCCTGTGTTTTTGTTTTCTTTACCCCAAACACCACTCTTCCCAGATGATGACTTGGCTGAGTGTTTGTGTTCCTCCGAGATGAACTGCCACTCAAACCTCGTGAGCAGAAAGTAACGGCCCCTCTCTTCCAGCGGTTCTGAGGCTGTAGGTCATGACCCAAAGGGACAGCGAGGTGTAGGTAGCCTTGCACTTGCTCACCTGTGATTGCAGACAGGCCGTAGCCCCTCTGTGTCTGGGCTCCTCATTTCTTTTTTGCAGCGCTGGGTGTGGGACCTGGGCCTCGTGCCTGCTGGGCAGGCGCTCCACCACATTCCTGATTCTCAGTGTGCAAAACACAGGAAATGCTCAGTGAACGTTAAATGTCATTTCTGAAAACTCCCATGAGACCTTATGACATTGGGAACCAAGGCACAGAGATGTGAGGGGCTTGCTGAAGGTCACACAGCTTGCAGAAGGCAGGGCAGGGACCGGAACTCCCTTGTGTACGCTAAGCCCATTGATTCTGAGTGCAAAGCCCGCACTGGGGTCGTTGGAGTCACTTTAGGGGTCTGAGGCTTCCTGGCCCTGACCTTCTGCGAGCCTGGGTGTGGCTCAGGGACCCGCCTGCCAGCCCCACTGCCCTCTGGGTCCTGACCGGAATAGCAGGAAGGACGGACCCACCTGATCTGCTCAGGGCAGTGCTGCGAGTCGGTGGCCGGCTTGGGGCCCCCCCGCGGCCCCCCATGGGTGGGTGGCCTGGGCTGGGAGCCACAGCTGCTGAGCGGCTGGAAACAGGGGCCTTGGCATCCAATGTCCCCATACCTGTGAGGCCACTGGCCAGTCACCTGCCCTCTCTGAGCCTGGGGTGGAGCGGTCAGCATGAGGCTCTGGGTAAAAGAGGCGCAGCCTACCGAGCCCAGAGGCGTGAGCTGCTTATGAGGACACAGCATCTGGGAATCTGGGGGTCGCAAGGTTGGGGAGGAGAAGCCCCGCAGATGAGAGGGTGAAGGGAGGGCCGGGAATGCCACCCCCTAAAGAGGGTCCCCTGAAGCAGCGGCCGGGCGAGGCCTCCCAGATGTCTGGTCTTCAGCAACCCCAGCCTCGGTGGGGCCGCACTCTCCCCTGTGCACACCAGAAGGACTGGGGGACTCTGGCCCTTCCTGCCCCTCCCTCCCCAGGGCCCAGCCCCAGTGCGGCCTGGGCAGCTGGCACGTGGTGGACGACTTCCGTTCCCTCTGGGTGGCTCCTGCAGCCTGCTGCTGCGGGGGGGGGGGGGGGGGGGGGGGGGGGCAGCTACTGTGGAAGGAAACTCTGAGCAAGAGAGACCACAGGAGGGCCAGGAGGTGGGATCCGGACACAAAGTCAGCCTCAGGTGTCACAGTCCCTGAGCAGCTACCTGGTGCTGGGCATGGTGACACCCACCGAGCAGGGCACAAGGCAGACCAGAGCCCCTGCCTGCTGGGGGGTGGGGGTGGACCTGCTCGCAGGGAGGGGCACAGCATCACCAAACTCTGACACCAGCTGAATCACTGTCTCCCCCTACTTTTACTGGCTGCACCGTCTCATCTCCTTTGAGGGGTCCTTACTCTCCCCTGACCTCCTGAGAATAGCTCACAGGCCTCCCTGATCTCTCTGCTCTCCCCTCCTCTCTGTTCCAGCTACATGGGCCTCCTGGATGTGCTTTCAACCTCTGAGCTTTTGCATTTTCTGTTCCCTCTGCCAGGAATGCTTTTCCCTTCAGCTGTCTTTCAGGTCTTTACCTAAAAGCTTGTTTCCCTGGCTCCTCCCTGTAAAATGGCTGCCTGAACCCCTTCACTTTTCATGAACGGCCCATATCCTCTTGCTCGGTTTTACTTTTCTTCTGGGCTCCTAACTTCATCTCATGTACTATAAGAATGATGTTGACTTATTTTCTCCCTCCAATAAAAGAGGGCAGGAGGCTGGCTTGATTTTTTTTTTAAGTAACTTATGGAGGCGACATTCCCAAAATACACAATTAACTATTTTTTTAAATGTAGACGGATATAATAGCTTTAATTAATTAATTTTTATGTGGTGCTGAGGATCGCACCCAGGGCCTCACACTTGCAAGGTGAGCGCTCTACCACTGAGCCCCAGCCCCAGCCCCACAATTACCTGTTTTGAAGTGAACATTTTGGTGTATTCACAGGGCTGTGGAGCCACCATCTCTGTCTAGTTCCAAAAATTTACATTGTTCCAAAGTAGCAGCTGTTCTTGCGCCCCTTTCTCCCAGCTGCTGGCAAAATAAAATCCATCTGTGTGGATTTTATCTGTTCTGGACAATTCCCACAAATGGAATCATACACTATGTGTCTTCCGTGGCTGGTTTCTTTCACCTGGCACCAGGTTTTAGAGATTCCTCCCCATCGTATGTATCATGAATCAGAACTGTGTTCTTGTTCATGGCTGAGTAATATTCTACAGCACCAATGCGCCCATTGTCTACCCATTCATCCCTTGAGGGACATTTGGACTCCTTCCACTTTTGCATGCATGTAATTATCTTTTTAACTTGTTTCTCTGGTGCTTTAGACAAAGTAGTGCTTGTTAAATACCAGTTGGAAGAATGACTGTTTTGAGGGAAGGCAGGCACTCAGCTCAGTGTGGAAGAGGGTTAGGGGGTCTTATGCTTTCACAGAAAGGGCAGTGGCTGGGCAAGGCCTTCAAGGATGAGGAGTGCCAGGTAAGGGAGGATGTGGGAAGAAATCTTCCCGCAAAGACATGGGAGGTGCAAGGGTCTGCAGCGGGGTGCATTCTGGGAAGGGAGAGAAGACGGGTGGAAAATGAGTGCAAACCGCAGGGCAGGCCTGTGGGGCAGGGCCCTGGACAGGCAGGACCTTGCTGCCCATGGCCAGGAGTCTGGATTTGCTACTGAGGCCATGGGGAGCAGGGAGAGGCCTCGGTGGGAGAGGGCCATGGAGTGGTGAGTCCCAGGGGGCCCACTGGGGTGTGAGAAGAGGGGTGTCCAAGTGGCAGAAGGGAGATCCAAAAGGACATTACTGCTGCCCACTGGCAAGAGATGACGGTGGCCTGGCATGGGGAAGTGGAGACCACGAAGGGAAGTGACGGGTCCTAGACGTGGCATGGAGGTGAAACCCCAGGGACTTGGGGACGGCGGCCGCAGCCTAGTTCTGGTTTCCAAATTCCCCTTTCCAGTGCTTCTGACTCACCGTCCCTCCTCCAGTCCTCTGCGGCTCCCCGCCACCAAGACACCTCGCTATCCACCGTAGTTCAGAGGTGGGGACACCGGGAAGTCCTCTATGGATGGAGGACGGATACAATGCAGTTTATCCAGAGAGTGGGTTTTCCTCAGCTGTAAAGGAATGGCGCCACGGACGCAGGCCATGGACACAGGCCACGGACGCAGGCCACAGCAGGGAGGGAAAGAAGCCAGTCACAAGTGGCCACATGTACAAGAGTGTTTAGGAGGGACAACTCTACAGGGAGAGAAAGAAGGTGGGTGGTGGGCCAGGGACTGGGGACAAGGAGAGCCAGGAGTGACCACTCCTTCTGAGGTACATAAAAACATTTTGGGACTAGAAAGAGGTGGTGGTTTTATAACACCATGAATGTGTTCAATTCTACTGAATTGTTCACTTTTTTTTTTTGGTCTGAAACAGGGTCTTGCTAAATTTCTGAGGCTGCCTCAAACTTGCGATCCTCCTGCCTCAGCCTCCAAGTACCTGGGATTACAGGTATGCGCCATGGTGCCTGGCAAATGGTAAATTTTTGTCAGGTGAACTGCACCTCAATTTTTACAAAATGAATAACAAGCCCCCCGCCCCCAGCTCCCAGGTCTTCCCAGAAAGATGCTGCGCTCTTTGTGATTCCTACTTCCTTCACCGCCAACCCTGGCTTTGCACCAGAGGCTATGAGAGCTGCACTCACAGATGTGGGGGCAATACCCCCATCAAGACCCAGACTGTTGTTGTCCTTTCCTGATGAGAGTCAAGATTTGGGGAAACTCCAAAGGCAAGGAAAGCCCTTGCTTTTTTTTTTTTAATCCAGGGAATTCTGTCCACGTCATGCACACTTGTACCCAGGGGCTCCACTGATGGCAGCAGGGGCTGTCCCTCTCCACACCTGTGGCTGGCCCTGCTCCCACGGAGGCAAGTTGGACTCCTCCCACTTCACAAAGTCTCAGGTCAGAACCTCATTGGCCGGTCCTGGGTCACATGTCCACACCTGAACCAATTATCAGGGCCAGAGCCATGGACTACTCTGAGTGCTCAGGAGAAAGGGTACATATGCCTCCTGCAAAACTCTGTGTGTGTGTCTCCCTAAAGGGCACAACACAGAGGACCTATCTCTCCTGAGCAGAGCAAAGTCCAGAGCAACTGGGTAACTTCCCAGAATCACAGAGCCAAGAGTCCCTGATCAACTCTTGGCTCCGTTCCTCGTGCCCAGGGGTCAGAGGCTGCAGGACCTTTTCTTTGAGATGGCAACCATGGATTGAGCCGAGTCAGGCCTGAGTGTGTTAGGCACACACAAGATGGGACACGTGTGCTAACAGCATATGGGGGGAGGTGAGGGCTTGGGGCAGAGGAGAGGGTGTGGAAGCTGGGCGGGGACCTCCCTGTGGGAGCAAGTCCATATTGAGGGCTGGGGGGCATTCCACCTTCTTATAGGAAGGAAGGTTGGGACTCCACATGCTGGGGATGAAACCCAGGGCTAAGACCGAGCTCCACTGCTCAGCTCCACTGCCAGCCCCCTAGAAGTTTTATAGTTTGGCTTTTGTATTGCTAGTCCATTTGGAGTTGATTTTTGTTGATGGTGTGAGGTAAAGACCAAGGTTTATTTTTCTACATGACATCTAGTTGTTTGGCTCAATGTGATTAAAAAAAAAAAAAAAACAACAAAAAACAAAAACTAACCTAGACTTTTCCCTCCAAGACTTCTCCATTTTTCCTATTACTGAGACCCAAAAGTATGGAGCCATCCTTAAGTGTTAGGGGCTGGGGATGGAACCCAGGGCCTCATGCATGCTAGGCAGGTGCTCCACCATGGAACCATGTTCCCAGCCCTGGAGTCATCCTTGATTCCTTTTTGGTTTGTCTCACTCCTCAAATCCAAGCCATCAGCTGATCTTGCATATATTTAAAAAATATATCCAGAATTTCAGCCTTTCTCTGAATCTCACTGCCCCACTATGTTCTAAGCCACCATCATGACTTGTTAGGATCACTGCAGTAGCCTCTTTCCTGGATCCTGGCCCTTTCTCTTGTTCCTTGCAGCCCTTCCTCCCCACAGCAGCCAGGGGTTGTGCTGAACTTCAGACAGATCACATTCCTCCTCTGCTTAAAACTTTCGCATGGCTCCCCGTTCTTCTCAAAGTAAAAGCAAAATATCTTTCCCATGATCCACAGGCCCTATACAATCTGGCTTTGCAATCATATTTGACCTCATTTCCTCAACTTGCTCAGGGGCTCCATCCTGCGGTCTCATCATACTTCAAATATGCCCGGGGTGGTTCCCATCTCAGCCTTTGCACTCCCTGTTCCCCCTGCCTGGGACACTCTTCCTACAATACTATAGGGCTCCATCCTCCTTCCTCTCTCTTCTTCAAGCCTTCCTTGACCATTTGTCTAAAAATCTTGGTCTTTCTACCCCATTGCCTTTTGAGGCTGGCCTTGAACTTGCTAAGGCTGGCTTGAACTTGCAGTTCTCCCCAGCAATTCCTACTTATTGCTGGCTCTTGTGGCACACACTTTACATACTATGTTTATCTTTGTTTAACAGATGTAGAAATGGAAACCTAGAGAAGTGAAATGATTTCTCTAAGGTCACTCCACGATTCTGTGGCTAAGTGAGACTTGAACTCTGCCCACTTCTAGAATTTTCTTCACTTAAGGGAAGGGGTTGTATTGCCAGGCATCCTATATATTAGGATAGTCCTGAATAGACTATCCTATCCAGGATACTTAAAATGGCTTGTGTCCGTTGTTTTCTAATAAACCACAAATTTTCAGGAATTATTTTTCCATTTCAGCCTGGAGTTAAATTCGATCCATCTAGCAACCCTTGCCAGTGGGAAGCTCAGACTCCAAGTCTTGGACTTCAGCGAGTGCCTCCTTTCCCGGACCCCAATGTTTTTTTTTTTGTTTTTTTTAATATTTATTTTTTAGTTTTCGGTGGACACAACATCTTTTATTTTTATGTGCTGCTGAGGATCGAACCCAGCGCCCCAAGCATGCCAGGCGAGCGCGTTACCGCTTGAGCCACATCTCCAGCCCCCCCAATGTTATTATTATTTTTTTTTCCAGGCGATCTGCGACCTGTCCTTACCTTTGGAACTGCATTGAGTTTTCCAGGTTCAAATCCTCAGGTTTCTGGGACCCGAGGACCCTGGGAACTCCTGAACCAGTCGCGTTCCCTTTAAGAGTGGTTTCAGGAACGTGCTCGTAGGGGCGTGGCGAATCCGGGGGCGTGGCGGGCCGGGGCTGGCCAATCGCGGGGCGGGAGTTACGCGGGGGCAGGCCCTGCGCGGGCGGGCGGGGGAGGTTAAAGGGGCGCGCCCGCGGGTCTCCGACTGGCCGGCCGCCCCGCCCGCTTGCGTCCGAGGGACACTCTCCCGCGGCTGCGCCAGCCGCACCGCCCAGGAGACAAAGCGCCGCTGTGGCCGTCGCTGCCACGGAGCGGGTCTGGGCCATGGCCGGCCGCCTCCCGGCCCCGCTCATCCTGTCCCGCCACCGCCCTAGGCCTGCGCAGCGAGGTAAGGCCGGCCTGGCGGGGACCCCTGCAGGAGACCAGCGAGGGGACGCGGGGCAGTGGCCAGCCGCGGTGGGCCTCGGGTGCCTGCTGCGGATCTTGCCACTTGAGATTCCGCTCCGGTGATAATTCCCGGCTGCCCTGCGAACTGAGCTGATGACCCCCATCCCCATAAAGGACGTGGGCCCCTGGGGAGAGATCAGCGGACAGTCCTCCAGTGTCCCTCTTGCGGTTGACCTCTCCATCTGGGGCTCTGGCTGTCCTTTAAGGAACTCAGAAGCTCCCGCACACAACACACAAAGGGACAGAGGGCAACTAGGAGCGGGGCCACACCTGGATTACCAGTCCTTGCTAGGGCAAGGGTCTGTGTCAACCCGGGGTGCAGGTTCTGGTGACCTTGTAGCCCCAACTGGGGCAGCGCAGGACAGGGGCTCTCTGCACATGTTTTTCAGCCTGTGCCCGCCACACCCTCTCCCCTACACCCACTGCTGGGGAACACTCAGGGCATCTGGACTCAACCCCAGGACTTGTGGTTTGGTCTTCTTTCCTTAAATGAGTGCCAACATGCCATCCATGCCTCCGTTTCCCCAGAGGCCTGGTTCTGGTGCCAGCTGTCCCCTTGGAGACCTGAGGCTAATTATTTGTCCTTTTAACAGCTTCTTCCCTGAATAAGCACTACCTATCAAACATTCTGCAAAATGACTCTTTAGAATTCTTTGATTTAGCCTTTCCCAGTGGGATGTTTATGTTTCATTTTGTAGAAGAGATTGTGAAAACCTCAACTCACAGTAGATAATATTTTTGAATTTCTCTTCCAGAGTTTATCATCTGTTTTCCCCTTATATCAGTTCACTGAACCTTTCTGCAGTCCTAACAAGTGAGGAAACTGAGGCTCAGAAAGGTGAAGTCATTCAAGGTCCTCCAGCCTGGGCTGGCAGAGGCAGGAACTTGGCCTCCTCTGGCTTCCTGTCTGGCCACAGGCTATGGAATCAGCAAAGGTGCACAGAGCCGGACTCTGAACTTGTTGGAAAGCAGTGTGGGAAATAATCCAGGCTGGGGACCAGGCGCTCCCTCCAGCTTCCGGCCCTTCCCTTTCTTGCTAGGCTGCTAGAGGCAGGGGCCATGGCAATCAGTCCCCTATTTGTGCTATTTGCTGGGAGCCATGTCCTTTGGGACAGCTCCTCATCCTGTGTCTCAGTTTCCATATCCATGCATGCATGGGGGGGGGGGGCACAGATTGCTTGCAGGGAAAGGTTTAAGAATGCTTCATTCATTCTGTAGGTACCTGAGCATCAACTACCTGTCAGGGACTGGAATTCGGACAAAAAAATCCCTGTCCTCCTGGAGCAGGCAAAAATGACCCAGGTAATTTCAGGTTGGCACACAGGAGGGTGATTAGCAGTCTGCGTGCATGGGGTGGCCAGGGACTGCATCCCCAGGGGTAGTGGAGCTGAGGCTGTGGAGTTGGCGTGGGGTAGGAATGTGCCTGGTGCATTTGAGGAACAGAAAGGAGGCTGGGGTGGCTGGAGCTGAGGGAGCAAGGGGGAAAGAGGTAGGAAAGGGAACTTGGAAGTCACGGGGAGGACTGTCGTGTGTGTGTGTTTGTGTGTGTGTGTGTGTGTGTGTGTGTGTCTGTCACTGGGGATGGAACCCAGGGGCACTTTACTACTGGGATACACTCTCATACTCCCAGCCCTTTTTATTTTTTCTAAGTTGCCCAAGCTGGCTTTGAACAAGACCCTCCTGCTTCAGCCTCCTAAGTCACTGGGATTATCCGTGCACACCACTGCACCCAATGGGAGGGTTAAATTTTATGAGAGAAGTGCGGAGCCATGGGAAAGCCAAGAGCAGAGGAGGGAAGGGATATAACTTTGTTTTGTTTATTTATTTGCTTGTTTTGGGTGCTGAGGATTGAACCCGGGCTGCTTTACCACTGAGCCACATCCCCAGCACTTTTTATTATTTTGAGACAGGGTCTCACTAAGTTGTCTAGAGCCTTGCTAAGTTGCTGAGGCTAGCCTCAAATTTGTGGTCCTCCTGCCTCAGCTTCCCAAACCACTGAGATTACAGGCGTGCACCATTGCACCAACCAAGACTTCATTTCAATAGGATCCCTCCATAGGGAGTTGATTTCAATGGGCCCAGAAGAGGGGTCTGGGGAGGAGATTTGGATCCTACCCTGAGATCCATGGATAGGGAGGAGGCAAGGAAGGAGGCAGGGAGACTAGTGAAGAGATTACTGTAGCCATCCCAGCCGGGACAGATGGGGGCCTAAAATGGGGGGCTGGGTAAACATTTTAGGCCACTAATTTGAAAGATGTTGAAGGGTTTAGCTGGCCTTAGTGATCAGATGTGGTGGTGAGAGGGACATTAAGAGCTGTTTACTCAGATTGGACATATGAGAGGGAGCATTTGGGGAGGCCCAGGAGAATGTCAAATGCTGTCACTGCAGAGTGCCCAACACTGTGCCAGGGGCATTCTACATGGTCACTGTCTTCCTCATCACGGTTACTCTGACTTAGTTGCTGCTCTGATCCCCTTTTACAGATTCAGAAACAAAGGCCCAAGGAGGCTAACAGCTTGCCTGGGGTCACCCAGCCTGGATACTGCAGAGCTGACGTGTGAACCGAGTGACCTGTGACTAGCTGACCAGAAGGCGGGGCGGCAAGCAGTGGCCTAAGAGGTAGGAGGGAAATGGGCAACTGTGTGTGGGGAGGTTCCTGTGAGATATGGGACCAGGGTCTACTTGGGAGTTGTTTTGGGGAGGTGTGCGGATGAGTGGGCCCCATTTTGCAAGGACTGAAACTGAGGCTTGGAGAGGGACAGCTCAGGTTTGAAGTTACACAGCTCAAGGAAGGAGAATGGCGATGAACAGGGGCCGCAGCCCTGCCACGGGTCAGGACAAGCTGATAGAGCCTCTTGCCCGGGTGGGTGGTATGAGGCAGCAGGAAAATGAGGACTTGGTTGGAGCAACTGTCCCCTCTGCCCTGGGTCAGGTGGCCCTACTGTGGTGCTCTGAGGAGAGCCACCACCCAGACCTCATTCCTCTAGGACTGAAGAAAGGCACCACCCAGGCAGGAACATTAATTGAGGACCTACTACACCCTAGAGACATTACATACCTACATACCTACCCTCCTATGCAGTGTGAGGCTGTGAAGAGGGAGCACGGGGTGCACACCGCCAGGGGAAGGCATGGCCACACTGGGAACCCACCTACGTGCCACCTCCCAGTAAGTCCTACCTGGCCAGTGTTACCCAATCATGTATTTGAGAGAAGATGGATGGAAACACTGTGGCCAAGTACAGCCAGTTAGATTCCTCTTCTTTTTTGCTACCGGGGATTAAACCCAGGGGTGCTCAACTACTGAGCCACATCCCCAGTCCTATTTTGTATTTTATTTAGAGACAGGGTCTCACTGAGTTGCTTAGGGCCTCACCGTTGCTAAGACTGGTTTTGAACTTGTAAGCCTCTAGTCTAGCCTCAGCCTCTGGAGTTTCTGGGATTACAGGCATGTGCCACAGCACCTGGCTAAATTCCTTTTTGCTGAATAGTACACAGTGCTTCCTGCCCCTTCCTCCCTGTAAGTCTGGGTTAGGCCCTGGGCCCACATCTTCATCTATTCTGTTTCCCAACAACTACTTCTGATTGCATCTTCCTTCTCTCCCCCTTCTGCCTGCTGCCCCGTCAGCCTTTGGGCTGTCCTGCAAGCACATCAACAGGTTACCACCACAGGGGGCCTTGCACTTGCTGTTCCTGCTGCCTGGCATGCCCTTCCTCCAAAGCTCTGGCTCTCCCCTCACCTCCGAGCCTCTGCTCACATGTCATCTTCTTAGGATGGCTTCCTTTGAGCACCCTATTCTTGTTTCCAACACTCCTGAACCCCTTCCCAGTCTTTTTTTTTGGTACTAGTGATTGAACCTTGTGATGTTTTACAACTGAACCCTTTTTATTTATTTATTTTTGAGACAGGGTCTTGCTAAATTGCCAAGACTGGCCTTGGACTTGCCATCCTCTTGCTTCAGCCTCTTGTTGCTGGGATTATAGGTTTGCAGCACGGTGCCTTGCTTATTATTTTTTCCACATCATGTTAAGACTGTGATATTTACAGTCTTAATTCTTTTGTTTTTTTGGTATGAGGGATTGGAACCAGGGGTGTGTAACCACTGAGCCACATCCCCGGCCCTTTTATATTTTATTTTGAGACAGGGTCCCACTGAGTTGCCTGGGCTTTGAACTCTGGAGCCTCCCAAGCCGCTGGGATTACAGGCGCCCGGCTGCAGTGTTAACCTTCGATCTGTTGGTTAATTATTCATCTCCTTCCACCAGCATGTTGGTACCACAAGGGCAGGGACCCTGTCAATCTTGTTTATTGTTGTGGCCCTGGTGCACAAAAGGTGCTTAATATTTGATGGACAAAGTAAGTCCCTGCAACACTGTCCAGGGTGGTGGAAACAGCCTGGCCTGAAATGAAACCTGGGTTTGACTTTCAGCTCTGCCCAGTTTGCCTTGTGACTTTGGGGGAGTGACTAAATTCTGTGCCTCTTTCCTCATCTGTCAAATGGGAGTACAGCCAGTCCCCACCACCCAAGGTTTGCTGTGTGATTAAATAGTGAGTATGTTAAGTGGCACACGTAGGACATTTGGGGACGCAGAGCGACAGGAGGCCAGGAGGCTGGCTGCGGGACTGTGAGACCCAGGCAGAGTCCCGCCTGCTCCAGGGAGTGTGCAAGCTCAGGCGGCCGCGTCCACTCTGAGCCTCAGTTTCCTCACCTGTGGCATGGCCGGGTTGGTGCGGAGAGAGGGGCCGTGAGGCGCTGGGACGGCGAATAACCGGCCGTCCTGGTGCGGGACAGCCCGCGCTGCCCCCAGGCCTGGCCGGCCACCATGAAGCTGAACGAGCGCAGCCTGGCCTTCTACGCCACGTGCGACGCGCCGGTGGACAACGCGGGCTTCCTCTACAAGAAGGGCGGGCGCCACGCGGCCTACCACCGCCGCTGGTTCGTGCTGCGCGGCAACATGCTCTTCTACTTCGAGGAGCCGGGCAGCCGCGAGCCTGTGGGCGTCATCATCCTGGAGGGCTGCACGGTGGAGCTGGTGGAGGCCGCTGAGGAGTTCGCCTTTGCCGTGCGCTTCGCGGGCGCGCGGGCGCGCACCTACGTGCTGGCGGCCGAGAGTCAGGCGGCCATGGAGGGCTGGGTGAAGGCGCTGTCGCGGGCCAGCTTCGACTACCTGCGGCTCGTGGTGCGCGAGCTGGAGCAGCAGCTGGCGGCCATGCGCGCGGCGGGCGGCGCGGCCCCGCCCCGCAGGCCCAGCGCGCTCCCGCCGCGGGAGAACGGCTGCGCCTGCGCCGTGTGGAGCGCCGAGACCCCCGCCGCCCCCACCGCGCGGCCGGGCCCGGAGCGGCCCACGCTGCCTCCGCGCCGCCGGGCCTCGGCTCCGCACGGTCCCCTGGACTCGGCCCCCTTCATCCGGCTGCACGAGTGGTACGGGCAGGAGGTGAGGGCGCTGCGCAACCAGTGGCTCAGCAGCAGGGCCCGGCCCTGAAGTCACGGACCCAAATCCCAGCCGAGCTAGAGACGCCGGGCCTGTCCCGGGGACCTTAAGACTGTGCCCCACCGCCCGTCCTGTCGCTAAAAGGAGCCAGGTCCTGGGGCTGCCCTAGGGGTCTGAGGGGTTGGCTCTTGCGGGCAACTGGCCTCCCGGCTCGGCCGGACACGTGGCTCTGTCCCCAGGGCGCCTTCCCGGGCGGAGAGAGGGCTCGGGCGCAGCGCCACTCATGGCTGGACCTTTTGCTGTAGCACCTGCCAGAGAAGCTGCCCTGCCCGGGCCATCCGCCGCCTCCAGAAGCGGCAGGTGCGGGTTTTAGTGCGAGACCTTAGGGTGAGCTCATCTGGTCCCAGGCTCCTGGAGGCCATGCTCCTTGCGGGCAGCAGCCTCGGGCCCCCTCATGCTGTCCTTGACTGCGTTCCTCAGTCACCTCCCCAGCCAGCTCTTTCCCCAGGCCTGGGTGGGACCTCTCTGCTGGCTGCCTGACCTCTAGCCCTGGGCTGGGCAGCTCTTTCCAGTAGGTTCCTGGGGGGAGGGGCACTTCACTGCTGACTCACACGGCAAGGGCCAGGTACTGACCCCGTGGGCAACAGCAGCTGCAGAGCTGTGCTTGGCCTCCAGCCCCTGTATCCCCGATTTCCCAGGACTCCTGTGCTTAGAGGCCAGCTGCTGACTGGCTTTCCTTCTCACTCACCACAGTGCCCATTCTTCATCCAGGAAGAACCCTGGGGCCGGGACACCCCTGGCTCCACCTGGGTCATGTTTACAGTCCTCAGCTTCCTGCACCAGGGAGCCCTGAGGACACCTCACCTCCACCTTTATTCCCCGAAGGCTGCTCCTTGGTGACCTACAGACTCAGCCCCTACTCCTTCCTCTTCTGTCTTTGGAGAGCCTGGGGCTGGGGAAATATTGGGAGGGGTCTGCAATCAAGGCCTCCCCAGCTCCCTGCTGGCTCAGTGGGCTGGGGCTTGTCTGGGGCTGTGAATTTTATTTTTAAATATTTAGGATGTTCTTTTTTGTTTGTTTTTCTGGCAATGGAACTTGGTGTTTGCACTGCTTTTGTTCCTGTTGGGTGGCAGGAAGAAAGCCACTTCAGCTTGGGTGGCACAGCCCCCAGGGAGGGGTGGCCTCAGCTGCAGAGGCACAGTTGGCTCTGAGATGCCAAGGTGCTTGGACAGGGGATCTCATCTGTCCTTTGCCTTCTCTCTGGCAAGCCCTGCTGTCCCCTGGCCACGTGCCTCTGGAGTCTTGGTACAATCCCTCATTCCTCTCCGAGTACTGAGCAGTATGGGTGATGGTGGCTCCTGTCCACAGGCTCTGGGGCTCAGGAAGACCTGGCCAGGCCCAGCTGGTGGGTGCAAGTTTACAAATTCTAAAGGTACAGTGACCCCAGTCTCCTGGGGGCAAGGGATGCTCCCCTCCTCCCAAAGCACACCATGCAGTCCAGCTGCCTCCAGGGTTGAATTTGGGGAGAAATGTGAGCCTGGGAGGGAGATATAAGGGCTCAAATAAAGAAGTCTGTCGAAGATTGGCTGGTTGTGTCCTTTTTCCCCCAACAGATTTGCCTGGCAGAGCCCAGAGCAGGCCCTACAAGGGAGGTGACCAATGTGTGTCTCCTTGTGGCTGATGCCAGACATATTCTCACAACCTCTCAGGGAAGCTATCAAATGCTGGCCCATTTGATAGATGAGGAAACTGAGGCTCAGAGAGGTTACGGTATTCCCCAAGGCCATACAGCTGGGATTCTGTGGTAGGCAGTGACTTCAGGAGGACTAGGAGGGAAAATGGAACACAAAGTTCCTTTGCAGAAGGGAGAGAAGGGAGGGGGAAGGAAGAGGATTTGAAAGTCAACTGTGGGCCCAGGGCCTGAGGGTTGGGAGGGACACTGTCAGGGATGGCCTGGGTCTTGTCATTGGTCACTTCTTGGTGGCTGCCAGGGGCCCTGGAGTAAAGAGCAGTTTTGCACCCATCCAAGCTCAGAGGGAAGGGCCTGTGATGGATTAGTAATGTCTGCTGTGTGCGCCCCGCGGTGGTGCTGCCTCTCGGGCTGCTTGTCTTTGGGGGCTAATGGGGTTTCACAGACGAGAACCAGCATGATGCAGGGGGCCCTAGGTCTGCCCTGCTTGAACTCAGCACTCGGGTCACAGGTCTACCTCGGCAGCCTGGAAAAATGTGCACTCAGGAAAATGTGGCTTAGGATGAGCAACTTACACTCCTTGTGTTCAAGAAATTAAAAATACTAAGGTCAGGAGATCGTGCCACCGAACATTCCAGCGCATGCTGAGTCATTAGTCCCATTGCTGGAGGGACCTCAGCCAAGTGGGGCTGGGGAAGTGGCTCCCCACACAGACTGAGTCAGGGCACTGCCTGTGGCATTTGTGACCACAGTGCCCACCGCAGGGGATGGGCACAGAATGGGGGAAATAGCAGGAGAGAGCCAACAGCAAGGGAGGTTGCAGAAGTGCCCTCACCTGCCAGAACCTTGCCACCAAGCTGCCTGAGGGTGGCAGGGGAGCAGAGCCCGTCAGTGCTAAAAAGTGCATCACTTACTAAGGGACCAGGCTTCCCCTGGACGGGGGAGATGTTCAGGGCACAAGTCTAAGGGGGACACTGTACATGGCGGAAGGAATATTCTGAGAAGCCACTGGGGTGAGGGTGAGACCCTCAAAGGGAGCATGCAGGCAAGAGGTCAGGGCAGGCTGCCCAACATCCATCCACCCTGAATGTCTGGTTACTCTGCTGCTGTTGGACCTGCAGGGATTGGCTAAACCTTAGCTGCCAAAGTCCACGTGAGCGGAAGGGTCTTCTTAAAAGAGAACATAGAGAACATGCCCTCTGGTGGGGAGTTGATGTTGGTGACGTCTGGGGCTGTGGCAGTCACCTTGCCTTCACAAAGTAGGCCACTCTAAAGAAAATGCCCATGTGAGTTTGAAAATGGTCTTGAACAGCTGCATCAGTGGACCCAGGAACCTGCCCTTCCTCTAGACATCTTGTTATTTGAGGTAATAAATGTTCTTGTGTAGAGCCATGAGTGGGATTTTTTTTTGTTGTCTGTTGCCTGAGCTTCCTAATAGATAAGCCAGAGACTTCTGAGGCGGGCAGTTCTGGGTAACCAGCTGTAGAGTGCTCTTGGCTTGGCAAGGTCAGTGATCAAGAGGGGCTGTCTCAACAGTGAGGGGGGCCGCTGCTTCTCATCCTTTCCCTGGAAGCCTTCCATCTTTGCTCTCCCAAAAGAGCAGACCCAAAAGAGAGGTCTCCTCCCCATGTGGCTCTGCACCTCGTAAGATTCTGAGCAGGGCTTTGTCCCTGCTCTGTGGCTAGATCAGATGCCAACTGCCCACTCCCTCAGTCCTACCCTACCACCTCCCCTTACCTAACACATACTTGGTGAGTGTGTGCCTGCTGCCTGTCCCAACAGGTCCAACTCAGCATCCCAAATGGAATGAAATTCCTCCATGGTGGTAAAATAACACACTAAGTCCAGCCGAAGTTTTTTTTTTTTGCATTTTATGATGAAGACTTTTTAAAAGATGGGCCATAAGAAACTATGTGCAAATCATTTTGCAATCTGGTTAAGGAGTGACGTGCAGAATATGTAGAAACCCCAGAACCCAACAGCATTGACAGTCACAACAAAACTACCTGATAAAACAATGGGCAAAGGGCATGATTAGACATTTCTCCAAAGAAGGTGCACAAATGGCCAGTGAGCACCTGAAAAGATGCCCCACGTCACTAATCAACAGGAATGTGCAGACCAGGACCACGGGAGCCCACCTTGCACTCCTCAGGATGACTGCTAGGAAGAAAGACGGCGGGTGTGGGCAGGGCGTGGAGAAGTGGGAACCCTCGCGCAGTGTCTGTGGGGATGTGAAATGGAGCAGCTTCTGTGGAAAAGCCTGGTGGTTCCTCAAACTGTTAAAAATAGTCACCAGCAATTCCACTTCTGGGTGGATGCCATAAGAATTGAGAGCAGGGGCTTAGAGAGTGTTAATAGCAGCCTATTCACCATGGCCACAAAGCGGAAGCGTCCCCAGTGTCCACCCACAGATGAATGGGTAGACCATGTGGTTTAGATGAATAGCGTTCATTCTGAAGAAGTAAGTGGGGAGCCAGGTGCAGTGACTCAGACTAGATTCCAGTGACTCAGGAGGCTGAGGCAGGAGAGTGGTAAGCTGCAGGCCTGCTGGGGCAACTTAGCAAGACACTGCCTCAAAATAAAGAGGGCAAGGATGCAGCTCAGTGGGTTCAATCTCCAGTGCCACAATAAATACATAAAACTATGGCCCAGGAAGTGTTTCTTTTTTCCGAGCTTCCAAAGGGGTTGCCCGATCCTGCCAGGCAGTTGGGCTGCCCCTGTTGGGTTTACCTGCACGTGGGGTATGGATGCCAGTCTCGTCAGGCCAGTTCTCAAAGTAACTGGTTGTTGGGCCAATGTGGTTTCCCTCTCTTCATGGTCCAGGGACAGCTGTCCGCTAGCTGAGCGGTAGAGTAGTCCTGGGGCAGGGCAACAAGCCTCCAGACCACAGCTCCTCAGGGTAGGGGTCATAGAGAGGCCAGTCATGCCCCCCCACTTCTTCCTTCCCTCCTGGTTACAGCTCCTTGGTCCCAAGACACAGGCTGAGCCAATCAGGGTCCTGAGAGTTTTGAGTTGGGGAACAGAAAATAAGGTACCTGAGGGCACTTGACTGAAGACCTGATGGACCAGGAAGTCCTGATGTCAGAGAGAGAAGACAACCAGACCTGTTAGAGAACTGGACAGATCAAAGTGGACTCCATGCAGGCCCCTGCCTGGGGTCCCCCCGTCAACTATGTGCGGTTTCTTTCAACCCAGTGGCTCCTGCCTGCGACAAGACACTCAAGGAATATTTACTCTCGACTCCTCATTCTCTCGTTTTGCCAGTGTCCTTCACGGGCAGCACACCTAGAGATCCAAAGCAACCCAGTGCCCTGGCCTTGCCTCCTCTGACTGATGCCTGATCAGTGGCTCCACCTTTAGACTGCATTTGAGCCAGCTGGGGCACTGAGGGCTGGGTATCTCTGGTTGCTAACAGCTAATCTCCAGGATCACACTTCCCAACACTGCCATTACCCTGTGCTGCTCCTTCCTGCCCTCGGGTACACACATGGAGAAGAAAGAGATGGTGGGGGATTCTGGGGTCTGTAAAAAAGCAAGACACACCCCTCCTACAGGCACCCAGCTCCGGGCCCCCTTCTCTCTGGAGAAGTCTCCTCTACTTCTGTCCCCCTTTTGTTTGGTACTGGGGATGCTCAACCACTGAGCCACATCCCCAGCTCTTTTTTGTATTTTATTTAGAGCCAGGGCCTCACTGAGTTACTTAGCGCCTCATTGAGTTGCTGAGGCTGGCTTTGAACTCACAATCCTCCTGCCTTGGCCTCTTGAGCTGCTGGGATCACAGGTGTGCTATCCCTCCTAAGTAAAACTTGCCTCCTACTCTTGCCTCGTTGTTTCTTGGTGTTTAATCTTCAACAGCAGGGGAGCGAAGACCCATTCCTGATCTCCGGGACCAGTATCTTCCACAGCCTCCAGGATGGCCCCAGTGATGCTTGCCTCTTGGTGTCCTGTCTAGAACTATCCCCTCCCACACCAAATTTTAGGCAGCCTGTGGGGCTAACAGGATGCTGGGGACAGGATAATAGGACTTCCAAATTTAGGTCACAGAGTACCCTGTAGCTTCTACCTTGGTGTTCTGAAAAGTCACCTGCCGCGTGGAGAGGCCCAGCTGGAAAGGGACCAAGGCCCACCTGCCTGGTAGCCGTGGGAGTGCACCATCTTAGAAGCAGGTGGCCAGCCCCAGTGCTGCCTTGTATAACTGCAGCCCTGGCTGATGGCTTAAGTGAAACCTGAGAGTCCGCCAGCCAGAACCAGCCAGTCAGGCCAGCCCCAGATTCCTGGCCCACAGAAGCTGTGGAACACAAACGTTTCTTGCTTTAAGCCATGAGGTTGTGGCATTGTTCATTGTACAGTAAGGACAGCTGTAACACAAGAAGATGCTGCTATGACCATGCCATTGACGGATGAGGAAACCCAGGCTCACTGAAGGGCCCTGGGGTGCCCCATGGTGGAGGTAAGCCCAGGGCAGACTCAGCTCAAAGCCAGTGCTTTCATTGCTACTCCTCAGGGCACTGGCCTGAGGCCACAGGCCATTAAAGTCAAGGAGGACCTGGAGTAAGGAATCACCTTGGCCAAGGTCACCCAGCTGCCTTTCTGGGCAGTCCCCTGCCTGAGCCCCTGCCCCGGTGCTCTTACATTGGAGAGTGGATTTAGCATGGGGCAGGCAGCCCTGTTTCCATAGCAATGGAAAACTGCACCTTGACTGTGGAGCCAGGCTTTCAAGTGACCCCCTAGCCCAGCGGCCAGGGCCCTGAGGCCAGGTCTGGCTTTGTTCACTCACCTGGGATGTGCAGCTGCTGCCAAATGTGTATGTGTGTGGGGCTCAACCAGGAGACAAGGCAGACAGGGGTGGGGAAGCAAGCAGCGTGGAGGCCTGTGTGGAAGGACCCTGCCACTGTCCTCTGGCCTGCCATCTCCCAGCAGATGGAACCTCCTAATTTCCTAAGAGTACAAGTCTGCCCACCCGAACGCCAGGCCTCACTCCCTCCATGGCTCCCCAGTGCCCTTGGGAGAAAGGTGTATTTCCCACCAGGCCCCACGGTGCTTCTTCATAAGGATGCCTTGTTTCTTCCTCCCATGCCTCTGCCCTGTATTCCAGACTCCTTAGGAATTCGCCCCTTCTTGCCTCTGTCCCATCTCCTGCCGGTGTTCCCTCCTTCTGGGCCTCACTACTATTCTCAGTTCCTGAACTTCCCCATCAAAGCCTTGAGCACACAGCAGGCACTCAATAAATACTCAGCAGGTGAGTGAACAGTTGCCACACTGCCCTTAGCTCAGCTGTCTACTCCCCTCTGCCCCTGAATCATGCTCTCAGCCATTTTTATTTTGAAATAGGGCTGGCTAAGTTGCCCAGGCAGTCTGGAACTTGTGATCCTCCTGCTTCAGCCTCCCCTGAGTCTCTGGGATTCAGGACACCATGCCCTGCCTTCTTCCTGACTTTCCAGTTTCTCAAGAGCTGAGAACTCAGGACTCAAGGAAACGCTCCTTGGGAGTTCAGATTTTACAATCATTTTGAACCTTTGCAACTGCTTTGTGGGGACAGTGTCGTTGCTATCACCCCCTTTGCAGCTGGGGAAGTAAGGGATTGGGGCATGCACAGTTTTGAGAGGTGCAGCTCTGAAGAGGGCCTGGGCCCACCCCAAACGTCACCCCTTCATGGGAGCTCTGATGGGTCTCGGCCCTCAGCCCCTGCTTCTCCCAGCTCCACGCCCCATGATGGGTTGTCAGGGCATCTCGAGGGTTGGAGTGACAGTTCTACTAGCTGGGGTGGGGAAACTTGGTCACTTAATTCCCACTGTGGGGACAGGAGGAAGAAGTGGGGTGAGTGGAAGGTTTTCAGGAGGCGGGGGTGGGGGGCAGCTTGCCTGGAGATGCCATGTGGCTTTGGCTCATGGGTGAGTCATGTTTAGTGCCACTTCAGGGCTCTCTCAATATTACTGGTCACACACAAAACCCATTCTGCAGCCTGTCTGTGGACAGAAGGAACCTGCCCACTGACAGTGTCAGCTACTGGACTCCCACTCCACATGTCTTACGTGCTGAGGCTCATTCCTCAGAATGACCCTGAGTCAGTTGCTGTGAGTTGCCCATTTTACAGGTGAGGAAACCTGAGGCCCTGGTTACACACCGGGGAAGAGTCTGAGGTTGCTTACCCCCAGTTAGTCCCTCTTGGCATCTTATTGGGAGGCTGGGGCACTGACTGCCCCACACTCCCCTGAAGTGGAAACTGCTTACCAGCTGGCTGATCTGAAGCCCAGATGCGGGGACAGGGTATGACCTTGACTTCTGTACCAGGCCCCAGAGTTTAAGCAACCAGTTTCCATTCTGCTGCACAAGTGGGAAAAATCGGGGCTGGGGACATAGCTCAGTTGGTAGAGTGTTTCCCTCGCATGCATCAGGCCCTAGGTTCAATCCCCAGCACCACAAAAAAACAAAACAAAACAAACAAACAAACAAACAAAACCACAAAACAAGTGGGAAAAATCCTTCCCTCTTTCTTCAGGGCAGTTGGAGCCCAAAGCACAGTCGTCAACCCAGATGCCACACGGCCCAGGTGGAGATAAGTCAAGGGCCTTGTGCTGTCTAGGGAGGGCCGCTCCTCAGCTGGCTGTTGTCACCTTAGAATGTGGCCTAGTGTGGCCGATACCAGGGTTTTCAAGAGAAGCTGTACTTGCCTGTCTCCTCAGGATGCTCTACACCTGTGGAGTAACTTCCTGGGTGTGGCCACGGTTCAGGCTGGGAAATGGGGTCACCCCTGCTGAAGCAACACCCTCTGAGAGCTGGCCTGACACCCGGCTTTCTGAAGGATCTGGAAACACATCTTGTCTACATGGGAAGATGATGGACGAGCTGCTATTCATGACTCCTAAGTAACATGCCCCTGGATTTTAATGTTGGCACCCAACTCAAAAACTAGTTTTTAAAAATAGAGTTTTGCAAAATACCTCTGAGGACCTGTTCAGACCCCCAGTTTGCTCCCCCAGCTCCAGAACAAAGAAGCGGGACACCCAGAATTATTATACAATTCTGTATTTAGCGACTTGTTTACAGAATGTGTTCCTTTTTTTTTAAAATTTTAAACAAAGTTCATCAATCTCTCATAGAAACAGTTTTGTGGGGTTTTGTGGGTGTTGTTGTTTTACCGTTGCAGGACGTGAACCAGACGGAGCTGTTCACGGGTCTGCCAGCTTTGAGTACGACAGGATTTCTGTGTTCAGAAGACTAAGTGCTTAATCAAATCCCGTCACACTAAAGCCAACGTGAGTTCTCTAAGGATCGGAGTCCTGGATTTCAACGTTGCGTTGGTTCCGAGAGTAAAAAGTGGTGTGTTTCCCCAGTGTCTAGTGCAACAGGGCGGTGGTGGCTACGCGATGTTTCATTTGTCCCAGATTGGAGTAGTCTGAAAACTGGTCTCTGTTTCCTATTGTCAAAATATAAAAATACCTTCATCTGGATAAAAATGTATACAGTGGAAAACTCTTCAGTGCATAGCCTGGGTGTGCGGAGGGCGAGGCCCTCCTCCGGGGGTGTGTCAACGTTGACTGGTGTGGGACTGCAGCCTGGGCTGGGTGCACTAGAGTTGGGATTTCTGAGACGGTCTTCAGTTGTCCCTTTCTGGTCGCTGGGTTTTGCCTGTGGTTTCAAAATACTCACCACATGTGTCTGTCATCTCTCCCCTTGGCACTGACTTGGCACCAGTTACAGTCACCGTTTTGTTACCATTCCGGGGAGTCACCCAATTTAGCCTTCCCACAGTTTGGAAAATGTAAAGAAGTAAAATGGAGAGCTTAACCACCACCCTGGAGGCTGCTCCATTCTGATGGGGAGCTCTCTCCCTAGACACACGACGAAATGTGCAGGAAAGGCTCCCCTGAGTTGGGGCTGAGTCTTGGCTCCCAGTAGTCATGCGCTGGAAAGAAGGGTGGCCTTGGAGACTGGGGTACGTGGACATGCTGTTCTGAATTCAGCCTTCCAGATGCAGCACCGGGGTCAGCTTGAGAAGGTGATGATCAGGTCTGCAGGGGTCTCTAGGGGGTGAATCTGCTTTGGCACTGGCTGCTGAGCTTCACTGCACGTGGGATAACCGCACTGTCCCTCTGAGAGCACGAGGAGGGAGGATGCAGCCAGTCTTCTCTGGAATGCCCAGTGGGGAAACTTGCTGGGTGTGGCCATGATTCAGGCTGGGAATAGGGGTCACTCTGGCTGAAGCACCATCTCAGAGCACCTGCCCCGACACCCAGCTTTCTGAAGATCTGGAAACACATCTTTTCTACAGATGGGCATTGGGTTCCTAACCAGGGAGTGTGACAGTTTGCTTTGTACCATGCCACCTTTAGTCTAGGACTCTGGGCCACGGCCCACATCTCTATGACATTTACAACAGCACGGGACACTGTGTTATCAAGGTTGCAGAACAGACCACCAGAATGGAACACATCCTCAACGGCATCGAGGTGTTCGTTTAGAGTCTTTTGGACTTTCTCCCTTCAGCACGGCTTTTGGACAGGCAATGGCAATGTGCTGTGTCTCACAGACAGGCGTGGGGAAAACCGTGGTTCAAAGGTTATTTAAATTTGGTCAGTCTTATAGTGTATACTGATGGCTTTGAACAATTGTCTTCTTTTAATCTCATCTAGTGGCAAAAAAACGACACAACTTCCATGTATACTTCGCAACAGTTGTGACAGCATCCTGATTTCATAACTCTCTGTAATATCAAAACAGCATCGGCTGGGAATAAATTCCAAAGGATCCTTTATTAAAATATCTAAAAGAGGTCTATAAATATTTCTTTATTTTTCTAAAAGAGTTTGGAGTTTTCAGGTGAAAATGTGGTGCCGTTTTGCTTCTGCCTCCTGTAGAGGGGCCAGGGTGGGGGAGAAGGGCAGGTCACCCAAGCTCCCTGCTGTGGGAAATGCCAAAAGGAAGAGGCCACGGCATTTGCTCCACCTGCCCACCTGCAACTTCAGAGAACCAGGATTACAACAAAAAACGTAAATGGCATAACTCTGCTGTCCACATTTGGGTGGTCGCGTGCCTCCCCTCCCCCCGATCCAACCCTATCTAGGACAGCGAGTGAGAAAAGGAAGGGGGCCCAGGGTATGCCCCTCACTCTGCCTTCAGAATTCCCACTCCAGGGCCTCCTCCCGGTTAGCAGCCCTCTCTAGCCGATAGATGATGCTGTTCAAGTTGGCCATCTTCTCATGCCGCCGCTGCAAATTGGGGTTCACCTTGGCATTGGGGTGCAAGGCCCCAGCTGTGTCGGCAGTGGGGCTGACACTCGGCACTTTGGCAGGGGGGGCACCAGGTGGGGATGGGGAGATGGGGGCTGACGAGGAGGGGACAGGTGACACAGACATCATGAGGCCTGGTGAGGAGGCAGCTGAGGGCGAGTTCAGTGACACCTCCAGGCTGCAGCGCGAGGACTCCGAGGCTGACTTAAAACTCAGAGGGTCCGAGTGAAGCCGCCCCCCAGCCTCACTCTCCTCGGGGGGATGTAGTGAGGTGCAGTCTGAGGTGTTTCCGCCTGAAAGAAGGGGCTCTGGGGCCACTCTTGGGAGTCCATCATTACTCAGAGGGTCAAGATGCTCCTCTTTGGGGGGTCCTTGGCCTTTGTCTGGCTCCCCTGGGTCCTGGGGCTGGCCTCCCACTTCCTCCTCAGTGTCCTCCTCGCTCTGCTCCTGCTTGATCCTCACTTGGGACCTGTCCGGGGCAGTCAGGGGCATGATGCGCTCCTCAGAGCCCTCCTGAAGCTCCAGTTCCTTCACAGTGGGCTTCTGGTCCTCAGCTTCTGAGTCAGGGTCCGGCTGGGCAGGGTCCGGCTGGGAGTGGCCTGGTGTCAGGACACCAGGACCCCCACTTGGGTCGAGGTCTGGCTCGTCCTGGGTTCCCTCCACCAACATCTCCCGGCGCATCCGGGACCTGGGGCAGAGAGAGTGGTGAGCCTGGGGCTGGACCAGGGACCCAGGAACCTTGGACTCAGCTGCATGAGCAGTATTTTGGACCTACCCACTGCCCAGGGGGACTCCCAAATCTGAAGCAGGAACTCCCTGGTAATTTTCTCAACACATCCTGTGGTACATCTTTCCCAGAATTCACTGCAGTGTATGATATGTGATCGTGAGTACCTGCTGGCCTGGAAGATGCTGGGGGCAAGGATTTTCTAGTTCTCTGCAGTGCCTGGTACAGAGTAGGTGCTCAACAAACATTTATCAAATGAAATAGTGTCTTCTTCTGCAGCGATAACCTTGGAGAGTCATTTCTTTTAGGAGCAGAATCCCCTCTGTTCCTTGGTACAGACCCCTATACTTCCTTCAAAACGCGGGTTGAATGCCTCCTCTTCTCTAAAGTATTCCCCAGGAAGAATCCCCTTTCCCTAAGACCTTTATTCCTCCTCATCCTACAGCATTTATTGGGTCATAGTAAAGTGACCTAGTTCATGACCATAAACTCCCGAGAGCAGGATGGCTTCAACCTGACTCCAGATGCTGGCTCACTGTGCAAGCTTTATTAGTACCGTGGGCATGGTCATGCTGGGCAACGATGGAATGCTCAGTCTCATGGCAATCAGAGGTGAGAAGATGTCCCCACATCACTCAGGGAGGGAAGGAGGGAGAGAAGGCTATAAGGACCTTGTCATGCACTGTTTGGCAGGTTCTGGTATGAGTCAGATAATGAGCAATACTTAACATGTTCATACCCAAAGTTATTTCATTTGATCATGATCAAGAGTTGTGAGGTAGGTATTAGGTTCCTCGTCTGTAAAGTAAGGATGAGACTCAGAGAGGTAAAGTGACTTGCCAAGGCCACACAGCCAAGTTAGGCCTTGGGCTCAGATCTGTGCAATGCCAAAGTCCAGGCTGGGACCGAACACCTGAGACCCCCACTCCCCAGGCTCCTCTTTCTCCTTCTTCCTAGGGGAGCAAGAGATCCCTCCACCAGTGACATGAATGGGTAGGCTCTGCTCTCTGGCACCACATGGGCACTGAGGATGCTCCCTGCTTAGGGACCCTGTAATACTGCCACAAGCCCACTCCTAGGGGCTCTGCCTGGGTTCAAGAAGACCCCCTGCAGTCTCCATGGAGCCAGCTTGGGACTGGCTCCCAGAAGTCCAGTCTGCTAGAGGTCAGTGACTCCCAAGCCCAGGGGCCACAGAAGAGGAAACTCCATCCCAAGAGCCCCAAGCAGGCAGACCCAAGGAGGGACCAGGGGAATTCTTTCAGCCTCAGGAGTGGGAGGGGTTGTGAGAGTGTCTTGGGTGTGTGCCCCAGGTCCCGTTCCCTGTGCCTTCTTGGAGGCAGACACAAAGCAAGCTGGGTGGAGTAATAATGGCAGCGACAGCAACGCCATCAGTACCTACCACTGACTATGCCCCAGGTATGCTATGTACACGTGTCGGTTTGTCAGTCTCTGAGGAAGCTAAGAGGTGGATGCTGTCCCTGTTGTATAGGTCAGAAGACTGAGGCTTAGGGAAGGCAAGTGATTGCCCAGGGTCCCACAGTTGAAGGGACAGAGCTGGGCTCTACTCCAGGCACGTCTGGGCCCACAGTGGCCCTGCATGGGGAGAGCCCACCCCACCTGGGTCTGCCCAGAGCCCTCACCTGTAGTTGTGGAACCAGTTGATGACGGTGTTGGTCTTCAGGTTGAGCTGGAGGGACAGCAGCTCGATGGTCTGCTGGGAGGGGTAGGGCTCCAGCTGGTAAGCCTTCCTTAGCGCCTCCTTCTCCTCGGGCGCCAGCACCACGCGGGGCTTCTTGACCTGCAGGAGGCTCAGGTCCTGGGGCTGCAGGCAGGGGCTGGGGCACTCGGAGCGCGTGGCTGGAGACTCACTGTCCGAGCCAGTACTGATGAGGCCATAGCGGCGTTTCAGGTAGGCTGGGCCAGGGGAGGGAGGGAGGCTGAGGGGTCCATCAACACCACCATCAGCCCCCCAGGGACAGCAGGGATCAGCCAGCCCCGCTCAGAGCCCTTCTTGTTGTGAACTTCCACCTCTTCCCAATCCCTCTGCTGAGAGGCTGGCCTGAGAGTGCCAGACCCAAGCCACTGGCTTCTGAAGTTAGGTCACCTGCATTTAGGGCTCAGCAGGGTGCCTTGCACTCAGGAAGCCTCCCAACAGCGCCCTCTATGGCCTCACTGAGTTTCAGAGCAGAGTCTAAATGACCCCCCTTACTGCCGGGCACATTTTGACCCCAAATGGTAAAAACACCAATAAAAACGGTGTGTGTGGGGGCTGCTGTAGTTTGCGTCTGGAATGCTCCCTAAAGGCCCATGTTTTAGAGGCTCAGCCCCAGGTGGGCGCTATGAGAAGTGGTGGGAGGTCTTCAGGTCACTGGGAAGTGCTCTCTAAGGGGACTGTGGGACTTGGGTCTATTCCTCCTCTTTTCTGCTGGGTCGGTTCTGTCCTTTTTCGTAGAGTCTGGGTAGGGCAAAGGGCGCTCCATCTGCACAGCATGCAGCGGAGGCAGAGGATGGGAGTGTTTGGGGACCTCTGCCTGAGGCTGCAAGCACTCTGGGGCAGCTATGGGTGAGAGGACGCCAGGAGAAGGGGTGGGGGTTTTCACGGGAGATGCAGATGCTGCCACCCACTTCTTAGAACACTGTACTGTCCTCTGGGACTGCCATTTCATGTGGTTTCCCAGCAGCGAGAGCCTGGGCATATTTAGGTGGCAGCCAGGTAGGTTCCAAAGGGAAACAGGCCAGACCCCATGCTGGACCCGTCCCCTGCCCAGCTCTTACCTTTCTTCTCTAGCTTCTTCATGTCCCTCAGCTTCTCCACATTGTGGGGGTCACTGAGCCACAGCTGCATGCGGACAAAGGGCTCCCTCCCCTTCAGGCTCAGCTTGTGCCAGGGTTTGGGCCGGGACAACAGGTCAGACACAGAGCCCTGGGTCAGGCCCAGGATGCTCTCCCCAAACAGCCGCTGCCCTGGGGACAGGGGAGGAGGCAGCCCGTTACCAGAGGCTGGGCAGAGAGACCTGCTCCCAGGAGAGGCAGGAACAGGCTGGAGACACAGGCCAAGCCCAGCACTGTCTCCACTCTCTCAGGAAGGAGAGCCTGAGACATGGGGGACCTTCCTGCAAAGTACACACCCTCTGGTCCAGCAATTCCACCCTGGGATTTACCCCTGGGCTCTCCTGCCTGCAGTGGAAGGGCGCACCCTGGTTGTCTTGTGTCTGAGGTGCTGAGGTTGAGCCAGGGCCTGTGCAAGTAAGCTTACAATCTATTTCTGCACTCCACCTGCGGCCCTGATTTATTTACCTTTTTTTTTTTTTTTAAAGTACCAGGATAGACCCCACGGACATTGAACCACTGAGCCACATCCCCAGCCCTTTTTATATTTTGTTTAGACACAAAGTCTCACTAAGTTGCTTAGGGTCTCGTAAAGGTGCTGAGGCTGGCTTTGAACTTGCGATCCTCCCGCCTCAGCCTCCCGAGTGGCTGGGATTATATGTGTGCGCCGCTATGCCGGATGTTTATTATTTTTAACTTATTTTTTTAAACTGATTGTTTTTAAAACTCATTTTAAAGCAATGAATAAGTCTTATTTTCACAATAGGAAGTGTAGTGAGAAACTCGGGGCTCAGACATTCCTCAGGGAGGCGTATAACTTGCATCTAAGGCTCAGTGGAGCGTGTAAGCCAGGAAAAGAAAGATGCCCAGAACAGATTTCCCCATCTTATGCTCCCCGGGGTGCAAGTTTGGGCCCTGGATGAGGACAGTGTTACAGCTTCACTGCAACTTGGTTCTTTGAACCCCCAGAAGGAAGTTTTTTGGAGTGTGGGCTGAGGATTCCAGGGGATTCAGACCTGCCTTCACCTGCTACAGGGACATAGGCCAGTCAAGATGCCTTGAGTGGGGTCCTGCATGCCTGGGCTGACTGGTACCTCCAGCTGGCCCAAGGCACTAGGTTCTCACCATGGGCACTTTTCCTTGAGGCCACCCAGGACAGGAGGCAGCAACCCTGGTTCCGGCTACCCATACCTAGATTGTTGTCTGTGAGGACCTCCTTGACTCTTTTGGTGATGGAGTAAGTGTCCAGCTCTGGGGACATAGCCACAATCTCCTGGATGCCTCCCGCGGCCTGGCTGCCAGAGTGCATCTTCCCACCCAGCGAGGAGCCAGAGCGGCCGTCTGGCTGCTGGTTCTCCTTGCTGCTCTCCAGTGACAGGCTCAAGGACTCTTGGGAACTCTTCTCAGGCTCCAGGGGGCTTGGGGGCGGTGAAGGTGAGGACCGCAGCTCGGGAGGACTGGCTGTGGGCCACAAAGAGACAGAGAGGTGGTCACTGCCATCTGGCATGGACACACACTTTCTGGGCAGGCTGGGGCTTGACAACAATCCGTTCTGCTATGGCCCAGTCGTGTCCCTGAGGGGCCCTCTATAGGAGGCTCACCAGGTCTCCCAGCGTCTCCCCACAGTGCTTATTAAGTATAAAGAGAGAAGAGCTGCCTCCCAGTAGCAGTTCTGAGAAGACCCCCAAACCAAGTCACCAGAGGCAGCAGCCACGGTGCCCCCACCCGGCACACTGCGAGGGACACAGCATCACTGCTGGGAGGCTCCCACCACGGGCAGGGCCTCAACCTAATCGCCAGGAGACACTCGACCCAGGTGGTCGCAAGGTGCCTGGCCTCCAGCTTTTAGCAAAGTCACACTGCCAAAGGAAGAGGCAGAATGTCCAGAGTGGAACACGGCAACTAAATACTAGTGACCTGAACCTGATGCCGGCAAGGGGGAATGATGTGTGTGTGTAATTGATAATTTATACTTTTATAAATGTTATAAATTGATAATTTATATATGACACACACATATATAAATGATATAATTAGAACAAGTGATAAAACTTGATTGTAGATGGTAGGTGAGGTACCATGAATCATGATAATGTTTCATTTTTTTCCAGGGATTGAATCCTGGGGGCGCTTTACTACTGAGCTATATCCACAGATCCTTTTAAAATTCTGAGACAGGATCTTGCTAAGTTGACAAGACTGGCCTGTCACTTGTGATCCTCTTGCCTCAGCCTCCCCAGACACTGGGGATTATGTGCCATTGATACCCAGTGGAAAGTTTCATTTCTGTATTTCTGGAAAATACAGTTGGCTTCTAATATCCTCAGGTTTGGTATCTGTGGATTAACCAACCACTGTTCAAAATTATTTTTTAAAAAATTGTGTCTAGGGGCTGGAGATACAGCTCAGTTGGTAGAGTGCTTACCTTGCATGCATAAGGCCCTGGTTCAGTCCCAGCACCACACACACACACACACACAGACAGATAGACAGACACACACACACACACACACACAGACAGACACACACACACAAATAAATAAAGACTAATTTACTAAAAAAACTTAAAAGAAAATACAATTCCATAACTATTTGCACAGCATTTGCATTGTGCCAGGTACTGAGAGTCACCCAGGGTTGATCTAAAGCACAGAAGAGGCTGTGCATGGGTGCATACAAACACTTCAGCATTTTATATGTGGGACTTGGGCATCTCTGCATGTTGGCATCCCTGGAACCAACTCGCTGTGCAACTTGGGGACAATGACACTTGCTCAAGTATTGATGAAGAGATTCAATGTTGCCAACAGATTCCTCAAATGAAGAGAAAGTACAAACGCAGCGTGTGATTAGGGGCTGACAGTGGTGGAGCACATAGGGAGCCGGCGGTTCTGCCTGGTTCTTCTGTAAATTAGAAACTATGTCAAACCAAGGGTTAAACCACAACAAAAGGAAGTGGGCAGTGATCTACAAGATCAGCCACCAGAGTGCAGCCAAATAAAACTGGGGAAGCCCTGCAGCCTTTGTAGATAACACAGGGCTGGGGCCGTGGCTCAGGGGAGCACCTGCTCAGCAGGCCTAAGGCCTGGGTTCCCTCTAGCACCACACACGCACACAGTGATACATAATGAAAAGATGTCCACAGCACACGTGGACATGCGAAGCGCTAGTTTTGTGTGTGTGTGGTGCTGGGGTGGAACCTGGGACCTTGTGCATGCTAAGGAAGCTCTCTACCGCCGAGTCACACCCCTGCCCTCCCTTCTTGTTTGAAAAAGCAGTAGTTCTGCCCAAGCTTTGCTCCCCACCTGCTCCTGGTGCCTGCCCTGCCCAGTGTGGGGGCTGTCTGTGTGTGCTCAGGGGCTGTGGCTGCAGGGCACAGTCATGGTAGGATGCAGAGGGAAGTATGGAGGCCCTGTAGCTGGGGGGCCACCAGCACCCCTTGATAAAACACAGTCACCTGGAACTTGGGCTTTTGCCACTTGACATTCTGTTTCTGGTCTGTATCCCTGTTGATATGAACTTAAACTATGGTTTTGTCCTATTGACTGATCCCTACTTATAGGTGGGGAGATTGAGGCTGAGCCAGGCCCTGGGATTGTCTCTACCTTGCCCTGGTTTCAGTGGGCAGGGCAGCTGTCCATCCTGTAGCCACGTGCCCTTATCCCAGCGCAGGCCTGGGTGGGCCCCTCACCGGGCCCCGGCAGACCAGCTCTCCGGTGTTAGCAGGAGGGAGCTTCTCCCCACTCCTGGGCTGACTTGGGGCTACTCTCAGCCTGGCTTCCTTACCTGCCAGGCTCAGACTCTCCCTTGCACACTCTCAAGAGGGAGTGGATGCGAGGGGCCAAAACCCTGTGCTGAGACCCCTGGGGCTGTGTGCTGGGTCTTCCAGGAAAAGAGATGATTCTGGACCAGTGGTGGGGTGGGGCTCGGCGAGCGAAATATTTCCTCTACCTGTTCCAGCACCCAGCACCCCAAGAGGTGTAAATGAGGGGCTCTGTGCCTCAGATGTGGGCCAAGAAGCATCACCCTGGTGGGGGAAAGCTGCGGGGGACCGGGAGACAGCCAGAAGCATGTGTGATATCCAGGGGCGCAGTCATGGTGGGATGCAGAGGGAAGTACAGAGGCCCTGTAGCTTGGGGGCCACCAGCACCCCTCGAGAGGGCCCTGCCTACACTCACCTTGGGAGGCGCTGGGCTGCTGGCCCACGGCCTGACCGAGCTGGTCTGAGAGCCACAGCTGCATGCGGATGAAGGGCTCCCGCCCCTTCTGTGTCAGCTTGCTCCAGGGCTTCGGCCGGGACAGCATGTCACTCACGCTGCCCTGCGATAGGCCCAGCACCTGCGGTGGGCGAGGCAGGCAGGGAAGGTCAGCAGGCCCCTGGACACTGCCATTCCATGCTGTCCCCCTGAGGCCCTGGGTGTCAGGCTGCTCTCATTTGTTCTTCATCTCCAGGGGCCTGCTGGGCACCTGTGCTGCGCCCCCTCTTTCCTGAGAAAACTCCAACCTGGCCTCGAGTGCCCCCTCCGCTGGGAAGCCTCCTTGTGTCTCCCACTTAGGTCCCGTCACCCTCCTCTGAGCCTGCTGGTACTGCAGGGGCACATGGACAAGGACACTGAGACCACTTCACTGGCTGGGCCACGGGAAGTGCAGAGGTCTGGGGGCGGGGGTAAGTGGATTCTCACAGCCTGGGAAGGAAGTGTTTCACTGCCCACAGCAGCACTGTGGCTCCCTCCCACGAGCCCAGGGACAGCTGGACCCTGGAGAGAGGGCAATGCTGTAGAGGGGGGAGAGTCTGCTCCATTGGAATCCTTGCAGGGCGCGCCCTGGGGGCTGAGGCCCGAGAGGCTCTCCCTCCCCAAGGCCCACAGTCTCCCTAGGGTCCACGGCCTCTCCGACCCCTGCGGCCTTCACCTTCTCCCCAAAGATCCTCTGGCAGATCCCATTCTTGGCCAGCTTCTCCTTGACCTGGCGCGTCAGCTCCAGAGTGTCCACCTCGCGGTACATGTAGAGCTCGTACTGCTCGGGGGTCAGGGGTGGCACGGTGGGCTTCAGGGTGCGGGGCACATAGGCTGGGTAGTAGGCCAGCCGCCCGCTGCTGCCCACCTCGGGGGCTCCCCCTTCTGCCTTCAGTTCGCCCACCCTGGGGGACTCATCCTCGCCCCCAGCTGCCTCATCCTCAGGGGCAGCGGGCGCCTCGTCTCCGCGGGGCCAGGCCCGCCCGTTGGGTTGGCCAGAGTAGCTGGAGGAGGAGGAGGACAGGGAGGGCGAGACAGAGGCATAGGGGCGGCTGAGCAGGCCGCGGTCCGAGGCCCAGTGGTGATCGAAGTAGCCGGCATCACCAATCTCTGATTTGACTTTCCGGATGATGCTTTGCACAAAGGCTGCGGGGGATAGGACCGTGAGGGACGTCTGTGTGGCACTGCTGCTGGTCCCCCCGCTGCCACCTCCAGTGCTGTCCTCCTGCTTGACGTAGGCTGGGCCCCCATTCTGGCTCATGGCTGCCAGCGAGGGCCGCTCTGGGGGAGAAGGGGGCACCGAGCGGCCCCGGGGTCCTGCCTCCATTTCCAGCAGGGCCTGCTGCTGGGCCTGCATCTCACGGCGAGCCTGTTCCAGAATGTTCTTGATGGCATCTTCTGAGGTGCTGGTGGAGGCTGTGCCGTTGGTGATGCTCAATGGGGCCGCTGAGTTCTTGGGTTCACCTGTGGGGAGGACGACAGGACAGCCAGGGGCCCCTCATCAGGGCTCAGCTTGAAGGCAAGGATGTTCAAAGCATCAGTATTTATACCACAAAAAAGCAGAGTCAACCTCTGTGTTCAGCAGATGGGGATTGGTTAAGTAAGTTAGGTCCCTCTGTATGGCAGGACATCAGGCTGCCATTAAAATTCAGGTTGAGGGGCTGGGGCTGTGGCTCAGGGTGGAGCGCTTGCCTAGCATGTGTGAGGCACTGAGTTCAATCCTCAGCACTACCTAAAAATGAATAAAATAAAGGTCCATTGACAACTAAAAATTTTTTTAAGAAGTCAGGTTGACAGCTGAGAAATGGCTCAGTGGTAGGTTCCATCCCCAACACAACAAAACAAAAAGTCCTGGTGACTGATTTTAGCCTATGCGGGAGAAGTGTTCACAAGGACAATATAACACAAGAAAGACCTGTCTTTCACACGCTATGATCCACCTAAGCAAATGATCAAAGACAAGGAAGACACTGTAGCACATAAGATGCTTCTTTGATTATTCTATAGCAAAACAGTGGCACAAATCCAAATGCCCATGGATTGGAGAATGGATAATAAATAATGGCACAGTCTGACAGTGAACTACTCTACAGCAGTGACAAAGGAAACCACCCTGCAAAGCCACATGTGGATCTTTTATTTTTTGGTGGTGCTGGGCCTGGCACATGCTAGGTAAGTGCTCTGCCCCTGAGCTACACACTCAGCCCTTATTTTACTTTGAGACAGTTTTGTTAACTTGCCTAGAACCTGCAGTCCTCCTGCCTCAGCCTCCTGTGCCTGAGACCTGTGCCACCATACCTGGCCCATACATGAATCTTTATTTTTTGGTACCAGGGATTGAACTCAGGGACACTTGACCACTGAGCCACATCTCCAGCCCTTTTTTTGTGTTTTATTTAGAGACAGAGTCTCACTGAGTTGCTTATTACCTTGCTCCTGCTGAAGCTGGCTTTGAAATGGCCATCCCCCAACATCAGCCTCCTGAGCCACTGGGATTGTAGGCGTGTGCCACCAAGCCCAGCCATGCGTGACTCTTAATAACATAGTAGTGGGCAAAAATAACAAGTCCCAGAAGATGAAGAAGACACAGTATAATGTGCCTTCTATGTGTGTTTATTGACTTATGCAGTCCTGGGGACTGAACCCAGGGGTACTCCACTACTGAGTCACTGAGCTACATCCCTAGCCCCTTTTATTTTTTAATTTTGAGACGGGGTCTTATTATGTTGCCTAGGCTGGCTTTGAACTGGTGATATTCTCCGGCCTCAGCCTCCCGAGTTGCTGGGTTGCAGATGTGTGCCATAACATGCCTTCTATAAAGCTCCCAAGCAAGCAAAATAAACAGTATGCAATTCAGTGAACAATCTTTTTAACAAATGACAAACTTAAAGGAGCCACAAAAAAAATTTAGGATAAAGGATCTCAGAGTGCAGGCAGCAGGGTGTGAAATGCCAGAAGATGGGAGACACTGGGGATTTTCTATACCTTGGGTGGGTTCACAGGCTCCCAGAGGATGGTTCTATGATATGAGTGAGCGAGAGAATGCATGAGTGAATAAATGAGTGAGTGAATGAGTAGGTGAGTGAATAGGTGAATGGGTGGGTGAGTGAGTGGGTGGGTGAGTGAGTGGGTGAGTTAGTGAATGAGTGGGTGGGTGAGTGAATGAGTGGGTGAGTTAATGAGTAAGTGAGTGAGTGGGTAGGTGAGTTAGTGAGTGCGTG